AACATTATTGTTTAATGCAAAATGAGACATAAACATAAACCACAAACCACAAACATTGTTGATTTGTTTATTGAAGACAGTATATGTCCAAGTGAAAGGTTTCTGGATTAAACTCTAACTTTATTTGTGATGAACATCAAATAAAAGGTAAGGTAGAAGAAAGAAAGCTTTGACTATATCTCATCATACTATAAACATGGAATAAAGTGATACTGTATTTGATTAACTTATCCCATTTTCTTTGCTTTCGTTTTTTTTAGTATAATATAACCAAAATGTGACACCACTCTTTAATCTTATATTCTCTTCCATTCATCCTTTTTATTTGTTTAAAAAACACTGAATTAATTTGGTCATGGATTCTTTAATTGTATGATTTTGAATTATTGTGAAGCAGATGAAATAACAACTCTTGCATCACTTACAAGGTTACAGCAAAGCATGTATCCCGAACAAGTTATATTCACAGTACTTAGAAGATATAATTAGGAAGAGAATAATGTAGTTTAATACACAATAAGGAGCATGTTTAAGGTAGAAGGGACACTTGGATAATATTCTAATTCCCTTAATCTGAGTGAAGAACAGAAACCTTGGCAGGTTCATGAACTTGGATTTGGAAACTGTCCACATAGTTTGACCACATTACAGTTGAAACATGGTGGACAAGGAAATATTCGTATGGTTGCCATGCACCATGGTTGTCCCTAAGCTTCCCTAGAAGCTAGGGTTAGCTAGGTTATCTCTCATTAGCCAATAGCAGAAGCTTTTATATACATGTCTAAAAGTCTAGAAAGTTCAGACAAAATATTGTATAATTATAGCTTCTTCTGCACATGGCAATGACAACTTATGATTTTGTAAAAAAATAAACACCCCAACAATCAATGATCTATATAATTATGGTCTAAGATGGTGTTTGGTGGCAATACACATTTTCTGTAAATATTTTACAATGCTGTTAAATTAGAGCTAAATGAGTTCATCACTGGTTTAAACTCAATCATTCTTAGTGGTAGAATGAAAAGATACTCTCATTAATACTAAGTAAGGCATTAATTAAGATCATCCTTCTTAAAAGTCATGAGAGGTGCTAAAAAATTTCAGCTATTCAAGATCATAGAATGGAGGTCCACCAAATATTCAAGTCTCTCCCATACAATAATATTAATATATACATCATTTAATCATTTATTTGATATAAATTAATTTGAATTTTATGAAAATTAGATAAAATATTTTAATATACTAAACACAAATATTTATTATAATTGTTATATAAAAAAATATGTTAATTTTATCCTTAAAATTTAAAATAATAAACAAATATATTTTAAGTAAATAAATCATATTATAACTTTTTTTTCTAATTGTGGAGAAACGAAAAGGAAAACAAAATTCGAAATTTCCTTTAATGAAACAATCTTACAATGCAATATTTCTTTGAATATTTTAAATATAATTTATTTTGCTTTGGAATCAAAAGTTTAGTCAAAATTCGACAAATTTATCAAGAGACAAAATTTTCAAAATAAATTCCTTAACCCCAAAAAAAATGAAAGATTGTGTAATTTTGAAGATAGAAAATGCAATTAAACATAAAAGAAACAATTATTATATTTTCAGCTTTTCCATGAAACTTTGGAAAAAAAATAAATTATAAATATTAGAATCATGTAGCAACATAATTAGGAAAGCAGTGAATCATGATTTCTGCCACAATCATGGTAGCAAATTAGAGCAGCTTTTTTTCCTTTCTTTCTAAGCCACAAATTCAAACCACCCTTTCACTTTTCCTTTTTGCAATCTTTGTTACCTTATAGCGTATGTATCTCTCAATTTCTAACTTTGTTTTAACTATCGATTTCACTTACTATATATATATGTGAAGTGAAAGGTTAAAACTTTACAAAAAGATAAAACTTCATTTACCCTCTCAAATAATATAAAAGGAGTAGAAGGGCGAGGTTATATAAAAAAGTTTCAATATAAATATTGATTCCATTGAATATATTTTGAATTTTTATATGGAAACTTTTCATATAAAATAAGGGTCACTTATTTTTGTTTGTGAATTTACTTGTATTTTTTCTGGGAATGAAAAAGTGAGAATAATGAGAGAAAAGAGAGAGACATTTTGGTTGCAGCCTTAACCAAAAAGAGGGAAACAGAGGAAGGCAATGGAGCACCAAAAGTGGGATCTAGCTATGACTAGCTTTGTAGGAAGGGTCACATACTACAGTGACTGCACACTGAATGCACAAAAGGAAACAAAGCTATATGCTTCCCAGAACACACCCAAACATTATCATTATTTTCCGACACATCATCTGAATTTCATTCATCCTCTGCACTCTCAATTTCCGACCCACCTTTTTTATCATTCATCACCACAATGTGTTGCACTCTCAAACACACAATTTCTTCTTCAAGTTTTCTCAACTCCAATCGCCTAATAATTCATCCCTCCCTCCCTCCCTACCTCGCTTGGAAGTGGAGATAAAATGATGGTCATCAATAATCATCTTCAATCTAATCCACATGTCTGACAAAAATGTTTGTGCTGTGTGGACAAGCATATATTCTATTGAGTTGTGTTTGTGTGAGAGGTTCCAAAGACTTAGTTGTTGTTGTTGTTGTATGGGCATTTTTTGACCCTAACATGGGACATATATCCAATCTGTCAGCCAAAGTATATGGATACTGATAAATACAACACAACACTACACACCACCATAACTAAAACCTCCATGTGCATGTCTCTGCACTTCTTTATCCCCATCTTTTGCCTCTCTCATTCATCACGCGTCCTTGTCCCAACACTTCTCCTCTCTCTTTCGTTCCCACTTTCTTCTTCAATTTAAAGTAGACACACATCATTTTTCTGCTTTTACATCTCAAAATCATCGTTCTTTTATCTTCCAGTACTAATTGAAAATTATCTTATTAATAAATAAAATAATAATCAACAAAACAATTAATAAAAACTCTGAAATCGAAGACAAAATTACAACCATTATTTAATAATAATCAAAAAATAATACTGTAAATTTTTTTACAATATATAAACTACTCTTTTATATTTTTTATTACTATCACTCATTTTATTATTTATCTAAATATATTATTTTATTAAAATAATATTATTTTTATCAATCCAATAAATATTTATTAATTTTAATAGAGTTCATTTTTTTTATGTAAGCTTCTCATTCCACCTTAGATCTCACAACAAAAGTTAATCATCAATAAAATCATATGCATTATTAAAATATTAATTTATAAAACAATATTTTAGTAATGACGAATAATATATATGATATTCATGTTTTAAAATATTACTTTTATGAAGTGTGTGGACGAAACTTATTATGTATATATAAAATAAAAAAGTTATGCTGAGGTTGAAGATGAAGATTTTATAATTTGAAATTCAACAAACGAAAACGTTTCTTAACAATTTGAAGTTATAGAGTTTGGGTCATTTTGATCTGATGAAGAGTGTTCTTACTTTTTGTTGTTGGTAAGAATTTATAGGCTTTTGTGAAATGAGTCTATTCAACTTTAAAGTTGGGTTTGGATTACATTTGTCTGTTAATACTTTTAAACTATATTTTTCAAATTAATTATAACTCATTTTATAATTAAATTAATACCTTCTAAACTAATATGATAATAATTTTTTTTGTCTTGCTAAATTTTTTCAATTTTCATTCAATTATTTACATATTTATCTTAACAAATTTATTAACTTTTTTCAAAGAATTTACAAAAGTGAATTATTGGCCCACACCGTTTACGGGGCCACTGGGCTTTCTTCTTATTCGGTTGGACAAAAAAGCCCCTGTCAGTGATTGAAAATGACCATTAGGGGACTGACTTAGGGGTTCTATATTTACAAAAAACATTGCCTTCTTTTTCAAAACCCAAAAACAGTTTTTTTTAATATATATATATATATATATATATATATATATATATATATATATATATATATATATATATATATATATATATATATATATATATATATGATATCAGTAATTTGAATGAGCATTTGATTCCTTAGTAGATACATGCATGTGTCTCCACATCTTTCAAAATAATTGTTGTTATCTCTCATTTTTTATATAACAAATAAAAACATTAATTTATTAAAACTAACGAAAATACTTAATTAATTAATAATTAGTAATTTATATTATTAAAATACTCATAGCATTATATATATGGGATTTTTGTAGTGAGTATATTTAATATTTTTTTTATAAACGAGAACGTCATATATATATATATATATATATATATATATATATATATATATATATATATTCACTCTATGACTTATTATTTTTAGGTCAATAAATATATCTACTTATATGAAATACGAATACATGCAATAAATTTTATAAGAAATTAAAAATATAAACGAAAATTAACAATAAGTATATCTAAAATAATTCTTTCTAAATCAAAAAAATACATTTATTTATAGACAAAATTTAACTGTATTTTCTACAAGCTTCAATACTAAAAAGTTATTAGTATAATATTTTATTTTTTCTAAGTTTCAAGACAAAGTTGTGATGGAATTAATGTATCATAATGCCCAATGAATTGAATCAGAAGTACAATTTTACTTCCATAGATCAACTTGAAAATTACTTTTTTTTTTTCTGTTCCCTACGCCAATGTACCCTAATTTTTGAAGTGAAGTTTAAACATTTTTGCGTGTTGTGTTTTTAGTTTACCTTGATGTAATGTTATGTTTGGGTATATATTGTCCTTTGAACACTTTAGGTACATGTTGGATACATTAAGGTGATATTGCCTAGTTGTATAGGACGCTAGCATGTCCACACAACGGGGAACACTGTAAATATCCTCTCCAACCATGTCCATTCCGGTCATTCTCCCACCACCTTCTTCATCCTACACACACCAGATAAATATTCAACCCTCTACCCTTTCACACACACCAAAAACACAACTACAACAACATGGAAAACTCTTCATCGTCATCTTCAAACTCAGTCTATCGAGAGTGTCTCCGCAACCATGCAGCGAGCCTCGGCAGCTACGCGACAGATGGTTGCGGAGAGTTCACTCTCGATGACGTCTCTTCTCCCTCTCTCCAATGTGCGGCCTGTGGCTGCCACCGGAACTTTCATCGCAAGATTGCGGTGGAAGGAATGGTGGGTGGAGGGAGCGGGGACATGATGGAGTACTCGGGAGGGGACGTGGGAAGGATGGAGGTGGGGGAGAGGAGCAGCAGGAAGAGGTTCAGGACGAAGTTCAGTGCCGAGCAGAAGGAGAAGATGCTGGGGTTTGCAGAGAAGCTGGGGTGGAAGCTGCAGAGGAAGGAGGTGGATGATGAGATTGAGAGGTTTTGTAAAAGTGTTGGAGTGACTAGACAGGTTTTCAAGGTGTGGATGCATAACCATAAGAACAACTCTAATTCTTCTAACTCTTCTGCTAATCTCTCTTCTCTCACTCAGTGAACTTTCTTTCTGTAGTTAACACCATAATTAGGGCTTTTGACTCTCCAAAATATGAACTCAAAGTGTTTTCACAAGGTTCATCCTTTCAACATGTTACACATTACTACCTCTTGAAGGGTTTGTTTTGAGGTTAATTTTCAGAAATTAATGAGCGTTAGAAGGGAGAGGATAAAGAGGTATAGCTGAGAGAAGAGAGAGAGAGAGAGAGAGAGATGGGAGGAAGAGATGTATCTTATTATTGCTTTATTTTTTTACATTTTCTTTCTTTTTTTCTTTAAGTTGAGGCTTGAATGTAATAATTTTGTAATTTATTTGTTGCATGTGTTAGTATAAATTTGTTTGTTTTTTCTTTTGAGTTTTTTTCTTTTTTACTTGATATAAGAGAAGATTAATTAATGTATGTGAAGTAACACATTGGTAGAATCTTCAATTTATTTTAGTTATGACTTAGATTTGATTTTCAGATATTTATGTTTGACTTATATTAGTATACATGTAAATTTTCCTAATAAATTCTGAAATTAGTAGTTTTCTCTTACCTTATCAAAGTTGTCTTTTCTCTTGATATAATGTTTTGTTTCTCATAAAAATGCCCCTTTTATATCTTTAATTTCATATTATATTATCACTTAATTATTATTTTTAAATTACAATTTAATCTTATTTTATTTCTTAACATTTTTCATGACACATCATTCCTTTTTTATTTTTCAGAAATTTAAGGAACCAACAAAATGTATAAAAATAAAAAATTTTGATAGTAAAATACGTGAAAAAGTAAATTAAATTAAAGTTTATGAAATAACTATATCATTGAATAACAAAATGATTAATTAAGTTTATATATTTTGTTGTGTTATATGGAGATGATAAAGTAGTAATAATACTCAAGATTAATTCTTAGATATTGAAATAATAAAAGCCCTAAAAGTAAAGAAAAAAAAAAGATTACCATTTTCTAGTTTGGTTTTGGTTGACATGATTTTTGTCAGGCTATAGAAGGACCGACCAAGTTAGTTAATTTCGATGTTAGTGTAATTAATTTACTACCAAATTTGTCTCTTTCATTATTCACCAAAATATTATCTATTATTGTTGTAGCATCTACAAGGAAAAGTATTATTATTATTTTTTCAATTATAAAACAATACATGAACATAAAATAGGAATTTAGTTTTAAAATTAGTATTAGTGATTATATATAATATTTATATATAAAGTGAGAAAAGAACCAAATTATTATACATGAGTAACTTTTACCAAATATTATTATTATTATTATTATTATTATTATTATTATTATTATTATTATTATTATTATTATTATTATTACCTTGTTTAATATCTGTCAATTTTATAATTTTTTTCAGTCTTATTGTTTGATTGAAATTTTCTTCCCATCAAATGTTTAAGTCACTCAATCTGAGTCCCGTCTTTGATGATGGGCACGACGAAACGCAAACAATACATAAAGAAATGTCATTACACAGGGATGGATAAATAATAAATTTTATACTGATTGAAAATAATCTGATATTATATGCATTTTTTAAATATTAATAATTTAAGCGTGTGTTTAAAATTATATATTAGATAAAAATAAAAAGTTTGAATAATTTATAAATAAAAGATTTATAATTTAATGTTTTAGTATTTTAAATTAAAGGTAATATTATATTTTTGTTATTAAGAGTTTTTTTTATTGTCTAGTTATCTCGAAATTATCCAACAAAAATATAAATAATTTTATCATTTATTTAATTTTACTAAATTTTAGCAGGAATAATCAAGAAAATTTTAATCAATAAACTTTTTTATTATTGAGAATTTTTTTAGTTAGCTCCTCAAAATTATTGACATAAACATATTAAAATATAAATAATTTTATCAATTATTAAATTTTATTAAAATTTAATAATCAAAATAATTTTAATCAATATTATTTTTTTATCAAAAATATTGAGGGTGTATATTAAGTTATACGATTAAGATTACAATATATTCTATTTATGAATAATAGTGTTTGATATTCTAATTTATTATAAATTTTTTTTTTAATATTTTAGTAGCTTGGTATTTTTTCAAGAAAAACAGATATAATAAATCCAGTCTTTCACTAAGATTTTGATTTCGAATAACTGTCTTCAATTCAAGTTGATTATCGCCTCTTTCATGAGACAATTGAGAGAAAATAATATATATAAATTATTTTTTATTATTATGAGAATATATTTTTATAATAAGTTCTTGGAAAAAAAATATAATAATAAATAAGTTGAGATAAATTTGGTGACTATATTATATAAATAAAAATTCTGATAATTAAGTAAGTGTAAAACAAATGGAAATAGTATATGGACTTGTCTCTAGAAGAATAAATTAATATTATATATATATTATTAATTTTATGTAAAATTGTGATTTTATATTTTTTTTAATTTGATAAAACAATAATAAATGAAATAATAGAATAATTGTTGGAGAATCAATAAATGGATAAACTAAGTATAACTTATATATTCTTCTGTACCTCAATAAATATAGGAACTTGCATATAACATTCAAGTACAAGATTATATAAGAAATATCTTATTTGGCTCTCTCTCTTTAACCTTTATATATATATATATATATATATATATATATATATATATATATATATTATATGAGTTTTGACGCATATAAATGGAGTATAAAATAATTTTACCTTAAAATTTTATAAATATAATTGAAGTGAGAGAAACTTTCCATTTATAAAATGGATTTTAAAGATAAACTATCTAATTAAAAAGTTATTAAAGTGTGAATATTTGGAAAATGATTTCCTTAATTCTTGAAAATTATGTTTTCATAAACTAATTTTTTTAAAGATAATAATTTCTGGGAACAGATGGTTCACAAGTGTTGTTAAAAAGTTTTTTCACATGTTAATTTAAATTTCCAATTTCTTATGAGAATGTTTTCACTACATATATATCTATGAATGGAGGACAACATATGAGAATGTTTTCATTTTCATCCCTTAATATTCTAGTTATCAGAAAAGAAAAGAAAAGAAAAGAAAAGAAAAGAAAAGAAAAGAAAAAAAGGTTGGTATTATAGAGTTCTGCACCTTGAAGCAACCAAGCAGTGAATGAATTGAAGGCAATGATTGGATCTCTTAACAGTGGCATTCAGTGTTGATGAGATTCATAATAAGAAGGGTAGGACTTAATGTCAGATGGATAGGTGGTGGTGGTGGTAAAGAATCTTTTGCAGAACATGGACCACATACTGACCCTCATGAATTCAATTTTTACCTTCGTTTCTACGCAAATCCAAAAACAAATTCAAAGGGATCTTCATGTCCCTTCTTCAACAAGAAATCAAGTTAGAATTACAAGTTAAAGGTTAATGGCTCCCACCCTTACAACTTAAGCTCACACCCATATGAAACCTATTTGCATAACTAGGGTTCTTTTTAGGGTTTTCTAATCAGCTGAGATGTATTCAATCACCCATATGATGGAAATTGAGATGATCTTGTTTTGGATGATGATGAGTGTGTAAAAGGCAAAAGGGTGTGAAGAAAAAAGTGAAATTGAACCATTTGCATGGCTAGAATCCATAGACAAGACCACAGTTTAGGTGAAACCACCTGGCATGTTGGCAGTACTGAGGTGGTAGTTTTGTAGTTAGGGACAACAGAAAAGACAGCACATGCACTCCCAAATTGCAACCTAACCACAAGATGTTGAGAGGTTAATCCTCACTTTATATATAAGCCAACTTCCACTACTGCCACACATTCATCTTTTTCTAATGGAGTTTTCTGCAAAGAGAGTATCCTGTATCATCATCTTTAATAACTTGTGCTTTGCTTTTGTTGAACTTTTAGTGACCAATGTAAGTTGTATATATGTTGTTGTCAGGGCAACACTAAATTTTGAACTTTCCTCATATAAAGGGAAATATATAAATTATTTTCTTGAGCTGTTATTTTTGTTCCCACTATTTTAGATTTAAATCCTCTTTTTATGTTTTCATGAATTAAAAACAAATGTGCATTTGCTATTACCACTTTTATTTTGTTACACAAATCCAATTATCTTTATCAAACAGTTGACTATTTATGAAAAAAAAAAAAAAAACATTATCTCTAACATGTGTGAGAAAATAATCTTTGCTATTACCAAAACATAATGGTAAAGAAAAAAGTGCATGCATTTTCAAAAGAAAAATCAATTCACTGCTAAAATTGAAAGAAAAAAATTGTTACATTTAGTGTAAGGGAAGAACAATATGAGAGCAATAAAAGAGTGATTGATTAGAGTTAAGGATGGATTTTCAAACAGAGAATAAATATTATGTATATGTATGCTTGAAAAAATGTTATGTTATATTTTTATTGTTACAAATTTATGTACACTATACTCAAAACTTCCAGATCCATTGTTAGTTGCATTTTACCCTTTTTTTTTTTTATTAATGTAACCAAAATATTTAAATATTTTGAATGAGAAATTTTCAGATTTCAAAACAATTTAAATTTAATTTGCTTTCGATTAAATTTATTTTATTTTTCTAAAATATCTGAAGTTTAATTTTAGTCCCTTTAAATTTGTGTCTGGTGTTTCCCCTTATAATTTTAAAATATATCAATTTTAATCTTTTTGAACTTATCTAAACCAGTATTTTGTCCTCCATAAATAAAGGACTCTCTAAACTACTTAAAAGACAAAAATAAAAATGAATTTATGAATTAGAAGAATTAAAAACAGATCAATTTTTGAAGAGACTAAAATTAAACTTCTCATTTATAAAATATTAAAGTTGATAATATATAACTAGAAGACTTGTAGTTATAATAAGAATATGATTTGATAAATAATTAAAATTTGTGAATAAATAGTGTAACACAGTAATTAATGTGGTATGATTTAATATTATATTATTATTTGTTTAAACTGATTTTAGAAAAAATAATAATAATCACTTACTATGATTTTTAATACATTTGGGTAAACTTATTTAGTAATATAGGTAAAAAAATAATTTTTAGAAGCAATTTGAATTTGTTTCTTATAAAATAAAAATAAAAGATGTAGTAGGAGAGAGTAAACTTTCTTAAAAACACAAGTGAAAATTTATAAAAGAATCACTTATAATGTGGTGAATGTTTTAAAGATTTATATGAGATTAGTTATAACACTTACAACATTAAGTTAAACAGTGACTTTAAAACTTTAATATTAAACTTTATTTTTTAGATAAAATACTTAAATCTATAACGCATTGCAAACAAAATTAAGATAAATAATCATTAGTGAATTTTTTAAATAATATTATTCACTTAAATTTCCTTTATATCTGTAAAAAAAAAGTACTACACCAATTGTCTCATGATATGAAAGCTGGCAGAACCCAAGCTAAAAACACTTTATCCTTTTTAGGAAGAGTTCGAATATTTTGTGCTGTGAAATGAAACATAATAGAATAGAACATATACCCATTACTAACATGAACAATCCTACATAATTTTTTTATTATTAGCATGGTGTTTTGCCTAGCAAATTGGATTCCCATTTGAAGATGAATAAAAGATGTTCCGTTTAGGTTGAAGAGGTTAAGTTTTGAAACTAGTATCTGAAAATTGGGTGGATATAGAATGATAAGAAAACAGAGTAGGTTTGTTTGCAGGGTATGAGTTGTTGAAGTAGAGGCAGTGAGAGAAGCACATGCATGCAGGAACTCACAGCCCACTATCCGAAATGGCCAGGTTGACAAGATAACGACGCATCTATCACTATATTTACTTTTCCTCATTTTCCGACAAAAAAATAAGGAGATCAAGGTTAAGAATCAAAATTTCGATTCTGTAACTAGGGAATTCTGTAGATTGATGACCTAGTTCTTACCAAATGCCTATATGTAAATTATTCGTTTCCACTTGAAGGCATGCTGTGAAGGGGTAGAAAAAACAGTAATATTAAAATGTGATCCTGTCAAACACCTTAATAATATGGTGCTGTATTCTTAATAGCAGATAAAGTGACAAAAATGAATAAAGGAAAGCAAGCACTAAGATTACAATAATGAGATCATTTTGAGATGGATATTATTGTCGATTGTATAACAATGAAGTTCAAAATTTACATCCACTTTAAAATTTGGAGCATATAAAGATGACCGAGTGAGTGACAGACAGATAGACAGACAAGGGCTCTCTCAGCTTTATGCAAAAAGGACATAAGCGGAGAGCCTAAATGGTTGGTTACAGGAGTACAAAATTCGTAACAAAACTTGGCTGTATCCGCACAACACGAGATTGGAAGAAGAGTGGCTTAGCTCTGGTATTTCGCCCTCACAGCTAAGGCCGCAGCTCTGTACCATGTCGCTGCAGCCATAGCACCGGGATCAGGAACTGTTGAAAGAATCTCTCCAGAAATGTATGTTGAACGCCCAGCCTGCATATGCATTGCCACCCCATCAGTTCCACTTCACAAGAGGAGCACTTACATACACAGATAATGCAGGCCATTTTCTAACATTTTTTCATTTTCATACCAACAAATACAGGTATCATATTTACATCACTGTACTTATTATTATAGTGATGTAAAAAACCATGGAGATATCTTCGCCCCTTAAGGACTCACCTGTGCTTGCATGTCTACAGTTGACTCAGCTCCAGCCAATGCAGCTTCAGAGGAGAGAACAAAAGCGGTGCAAGGATCCTCGCCAGAATTTAATTTCTGTAAAGCCAAATATCATTGTAAGTAAAAGTAAATAAATTCACTAAAAAAATGAAAGGAAATGAATAGATATTACCTCTTCAAGAACCGACGATGCTGGAATAAGGGCATCTAACAATGTTCTATAACCAGCACTAGCACCCCCATATTTACTTACAGCAGCAATGGAAGCTTCAAGTGCCTCAGCCCCTGAATCAACAAAAGACTCATGAGGAATGGAAAGTCCAATAAAAAAGGGTTAAAAGGAAAAAATATCATAAAGTTCTAGTTGCAAGTAGCTTGACTTGGAGAATGTTCTCACATTGTTTTGATGTAACACCAGAATGGGAGCTTGCTTTCAGATGTGAATGTGCTGCCTTAAAAAAGATTGTATATCTGAAAAATAAAATTAATTAGTGAGTTTACAACAGTCAGATAGCATAAATGATTTAACTTTAAAGGAGGCATATTACATGATCCCACTTGTTCCTCCCATGGATCTTCCGATTGATGAACCAATTTCACCAACAGTTTCAGCAGCATCATTTAGAGGGTAACTAAACAAAAAATAGTAATCTAGGTCAGACTGCTATCACAAACCAAATTGAGATTTTTCAGCAATCACCTTTTGCAGTTCCTCAAGAACATTAACACTTGCAATGCAATGAAGAAAAACATTACAAACAATCCATTAATCGAATACAAAGGTAAATAAAACTAAACAAAAATATGAGGCTAAGCAATGCAACGCAGAGCATAACTTACTTTTTGATGTCCTCAAGAATTGCTTTTGCACCTCTAGACATCTGCAGAAGAAAAACCAGACACCAAGTAAGACACATGTTACATCAACAATTAAAAAAAAAATGTTTTGAGGATAAGACTCACAGTTGATCCACAGTCACCATCACCAACTTTACCATCCCATTCGTTTAGATTTTCTTTAATATTTATAATTGCATTTGCAGCAGCTTCAATGGCTACCTCAAGAATTTGGCCTTGCTCATTTAGTTGTTGTGGTTGACTTCGTGGCTTATGTAAAGCAAATATGGAAACCAAATTTAACAAATTATATTAAGACACAAGAAAACTTAAGGAAAAATAAGAAACGGGAAAGCTAACTAACAACCAGTACTTATTTTAAGCATCATTTTTTACAATCACAATCACAGACATGTCAAAAGGGAAAAACACTCTCCACAGCAGCAAGCATGAATAAGCTTAGTTGTGCATAACAGCATAATTCACATACTAAATTTTTAATAATTTTTTTCATACATACTACATCAATTTACACTCGAATAGTTTTGTACTGATTACACGACTAGTAGGGGGGTTCACTTTAACTAGATTGACCTAAAGCCAACAACTAAACTAAGAATTTGATTGGATGCAGTAATAGTCTTGATTCTTGGTAACTTGGTAATACTTAACGCAATAAATTAACATTAGTGCAAAATTGATAGTTGATAATCTAAATGTCCACTATATACAGGAAGCATTGCAGCTTTTTAAAAATATAGTGTGAACAGGGGAGATGAAGAAAACATAATTTGGAGAATGGTGGCAGAATGAATCTATAGATAGCTAACACAAAGAACACAATGCCCAGGTGGTGCTGGGCTTCTAGAAAGAAGTTCATAAATTGATGGTGGAAGAGAAAGGGATTTAAATAGATGAATTAGAACTGCTGCATTAAAAATAAAGAAAAATCGAAATTGTTATGAAAACTGTTCTGTGAGCTAGATTGTCCTTTAATGATGGGCACATTAATTAAACGTCTGACATTGAGGGACTTATAGTGGGTCAGCAACAAGAAAGGTCTAGAATTCAGTACTCCTCCAATTGCTCTCCAACATGCTTGGATGGTGATGATGCCCTCTCTTTGGAAACTAACAGATACCTGTCAATACTTAATTTTGCTATCTCCTGAAACAAGGCTCAATTCAGTGAAAGAAAGAGGACTAAAAGGTTTTTCAAGAGGCCACCAAGTTGGCCATGTAATCCATCCAACACTCCATCCTGTAAAATGAAGGTGGCATGAACAGCAATTCCACAATCACAAATTAAATCCTCCAATAACCCAGTACGCCAGACCAATTATAATGGAAAGTCTAGCCTTGATGGGTATTATTTGTCATCTATAAGGAATGAACATTGGACTAGATATTCATCATTTGTCATTTATAAATCGCTTGAAAACAAATCGAAAATAAAAATAAAAAGCCCACCTATTTAGAATAAAAATGTCACTTGCAGGGGAAGCTATTTGAATGTGATTCCAAATTAAAAGGTTGCAAAGAAGTTTACAATGACAAAAGAAGTTAAACAGACCAAGAATAAAATGAAAAGGATGAGTTGACAGAGGATCCAGATGCAAGGAGACTTTCTAAATACTAATCTCATTATCAAAAAGGATTTATGAAAGGTAGTATGAAATATTTCAGTTTGTATGAGAAAATTTTCAATTTTAAAATATTAACAACTTTGCCATTAAAGAAAATTCAAAAAATACTTTCTTCTCCGTATTTGATTGTTACAAGGAGAGAAGAGAAACTAAAAAGCAAAACACATTTTAATAGTTCTAATTGTTTAGTTTTTAAAATCTAAAAAATACATCAGTTTTTAAAACTATGTTAATAAACAATTACCAAACAAGTTTTTTAGTTTTTAAACACCAAAATACTCAAAACTGTTTTTAAAAACAATAAACAAACAAGCCCTAAATATCCCGGGGCTCAACTTATTTCTTCTAGAATAAACTATGCAAATGGTAGGACTTTCTTGTTGCTGACCCAATATATATATATATATATATATATATATATATATATATATATATATATATATATATATATATATATATATATCCCTTAATGTCAGTCTTTGAATTATGAACCCTATCATATAATGTAAGTGTAGCTCCAATTTTATGACTTTACAAGTATTGCAAGCTGTGTAAAAAAAAAAAATTATTAAACCAACAAATAGATGATCTGCAGCTAACCATACAGAGCTAACAAAGCTAGTACGAAATATAACATAAAATCAAATGCTAGGCCAATTTCAACAGCTAAAACATAAAAACTACCACATAATCCAATCAGATAATGTCTTTAGGAATTCATATGATACTTTTTCATAGGCTTCTTGTTATAATATAAATTTGTACTTACTATTTTCTTAGACAAATGTCATAGAATAAAAAATGATATCTAATTTCCATGGATGTACCTCATCAGTCTTTGCTGATCGAGACGCAGAGATTGGAACAGGAATCTTAGCAGGTGGGTGATTTCCTAAACAAAATAACTCCAAAATCAATCAATGAACAATTAATTTACTCCAATCAACATTACAGTTGAATGAACATTTTGAAGCTAAAACCTTGTTACTATAAAAGTACAGATACAACTGAAAATTTTCCATGTAATAAAAGTGATTGATAAAAACAACTAAAGCAAATTACCAACCATCAGCAGCAACAGGCCAATATGGAGCTTTGGTTGGAGCATCTAATCGTTGAAGAATAGCAGGATCAGCCTTCATGATAGAAATTGAGAAACCTAGAAAAAAAAAAATGAAATAATGCTAATCAGAAATGATTATCGAATCACAAAGAGCAGTCCGACATTGGCTGTGATAACAAACCTGCCATATCAAGAGAAGTCATAAATGACCCAGTATAAACTCTATCAACAGCCAGTCCATGCTCTAGCTGTAATTTTGGAACTGTTTTTCCAGCTGTAATCATTAGTTCCATGGTGGGAGTGCCACCTAACCTGTGCATATGAAGAATCATATAAAATGTTGTAAATAAATATTCTACTTAAAAGACAAAATATCTGCTTTAAAAAATCCCAAACATAAGAACAATAAAATAATTGAAAGCATTTTCAGATATGTATTTGAAACTCTAGATTATAGGATGTGAGTTAGGAAGGTCTAAACTATTTGAAAAGTAAAATTATGCAATAAAAACATGTATATTCAAAAAGAATTTGCAAATGCAGAAGATTTGGACCATTGAAGGAGGCTAAAATCCTTCAAAAAAAATGCACAAAGAAAACGCTAGAATGATAGAAGAATTGTAGATGCTATCTAAATAAAAGGCAATGTAATTTCAATTTGAAAACACCTCGGATTAGACAACTTTTTCAATGAAACCTCTTTGGAGGTAAGCAAAAGCTGTTGTTTTTTTCATATTTCTACAATAAGATCTATGAAACACACAACTTCAGTTCTCAGGCAAAGATAATATCCGTGAGCGTACCCATTGACCATGAGAACCACTCTTTCTCCTCGAGTTATTGGAACATAGTTTGTTTCCTGCAAACATTACCAATTAAATGTTGGTGACCCATTTCACTAGAATGATAATGACACCCCCTACAAGGACACAAATAGTTACATACTTAAAACAGACCCATTGAAGGAAGAGTAAATTGATAAGATGCAATTTTGGGATCAATCAGTATTATTCCCACCCAATCTTTTTCCTGTCTAGGAAAATATTGTAGTCAAATTTTACCATACAAAAAAGTCCATTTGCATCTTCATGCTACTTAGGGAATGGCTCTTTCATGGGTTTTCTTAGTTCAACCTTTGTAGGACAGAGGGTTCAATTATTTGAATATATTTCCCAATTTTATTTCAATGCTCATTATTTACTTTTTGACTCAAATCAGAGAAAAATGTCTAACCAGTGTATTTATACTAATCTATGCCAACATAAGTTCACTATCTTGTTTATAATAATCTATACTAACATAAGTTCACAAAATATAGTTGGGTCCCTACAGAGTGTCTCCAATGTATAAATAAACCATAAACTAAAGCTTAGGCTCTCATACTAGAAGGTGGCTTCTATTGGAATAGAAAATTAGAAAATATAGAATAGAACGTTAGGAATTTTTTTATGTGGAATACAGAGGAGAAAAAAATGAACTTAATACGCTAAAATTCTTTAGTCTCAGTTGAGTATCATAAATAGAATGGTCCTAGTACAGTCAAAGGCTGAGCATCAAAAGTTCATTTGTCACACATGACAACTATTGCAATTTTGCAATGTGTTTGTACATTTTCGAAGGGCATTTCACTCCCAATTAAGTATCATAATCCATAAAGAGCTTTCCATGCAATTTTAAGGCATACCGTCGACAATATTTGTTGCAGAACATGAGAAACCACCACATTTACAGGCTGAATATCAGCCACTGCTGCACCAGCTTCTCCATGCTGTAAAATAATAGGGCATTCAATGAGCATAGTTTATAACTTAAATGAGAAAAGATCCTAGCAAGAAAAGACTTCAAGCATTAAGGAAATAAAAGGGTTTATTTCTGGTTATAAAACATAGATGACAGATCCTTCTTACCGCAAAATATTCTGAGTTTTATACTTATTATTGTTGAGGGTGCATTGAACTAAAGAAACTTACAATTCCAAGACCAAGTTCCATCTTTCCTGGGCCCAAACGATCTGATGTAACTTGACCAGGAATTGTGCAAACACTCAAAGCAACACCCATTGTTCCCACTATTTCAGATGCATGTTTAGCTTCTGCAGCAACATCATCAAGAGAATGACCAGCAGCAGCAGCAGCTCCTGCAACCTGGCTCAGTCAAAATAAAAATAACATTAAATATGTAGATAAATAAGAAAATAACACAATAAATACTATTTTTGTAATAATTATATTATAATGATGAATTCAAGAAATGAAATTTACATTAATACACACCAGATAATCCCTTCATATGTTTGTATGAAAAGGTGTGGTTAGAGCATTTATATGATTGGCAACGGAATGCTGAAAGAAAATAAGTGACTTCATGTATTAACCTTATGAACCAGAATAGTCCCGGCCAAACCTCTTCTTCCAGCAATGCCTCGAGGCGGAGGTAGGGCACAATCATCCCCAACAATTACAGTCTGCATAGAAAAAATACATGTCATACTTTATCTACATATTAAATGTTTAATTATTTGAAGTGCAATGAGAAAACAGTAGCCAGCTTGACATACCTCTACTTTATAACCTTCAGATTTTGCTAGCTCGGCAGCCAAACCAAAGTTCAAACGATCACCAGTATAGTTCTATCAACACCCAAATTCGAACACTATGAATCCAGAAACAAAAGCAAATCCTAATGACTCATCATGAACTGACCATACTAGTGCAAAGCCACACTATCTTATATGTTGATTTCACTTGTTTTCAAGTATTTAAAAAAAAAAAATAGTCAAGTATTATAATAAAAAGAAACTTTATTTAAAAATAAATCACCATTTATTATCTTAACCACAGCAGATGACATTTTCCATATGTAGGACACCTAATATGCATACTGACCTGAATGACCAATGCAAAATACTGTAAGATGGCAGAATGCTAAAGAAAAAAAATAAAAACAAATAATACCTTTACAATCAAAAGACATCCCTTAGAACCCGTTACAGCTCGTATTCCCTAAATTTAAAGTCATAATAATAGGAGCATCAGAAGTAGAAAAAACCACTATGCTTATAACTGAAAGGGTGATGTACATTTCAATTCTAATACTATGAAGGAAGCATACAGCTAGAATTGAATCAACGGGTGGAGAGGAAAATATATCTCCACAAACTGCTGCTGTAAGCATTCCTTCTCCCACAAATCCAGCATGGGCAGGCTCATGCCCACTTCCTCCTCCTGCAGGGTAAATTATAGACGTAGAAAATTTTCTCAGTAAAACCTATGCAATTATAGTGAACAAATAAAGTTTCATTTTATATGTCTCGTAGAATGAAATATTCTGTTTCCACACACCATTTCCTATATCTTATATTCTAACCTCTTGCAACTTATTTTTGTCAAATTGATTATCAAAATTGACACAATAATTCCTGCAATTCAAGCAGAATACTAGTGACACACCACCTTAAAAAATGAACTGAAAATGAATGGTCACACACCTGATATGACTGCAACTTTATCATACGTTGCAGCTGAAACATCTGCCCGTAGCACAACCTTCACCTACATTCAATCAAAAAAATACCTTCAGCAACTCTCACACTAAAATAAAATTTATACATGCACCTCCACAAAGTCGTATAATCACCAGAGGAAAGCCATCTAAATACTGCAGTCCAGGATAAGTCTCCACAAGACCTTCAATGAACTCAGTCACAACATCTGCAATCACATTTAAAACAAAAACAAAAATTAACAAATTATTCAATTTTAAAGAAGACACATTTTCTCTGCTATACAGATAGATACATGCACACATGAATAAATAAATAAATCTATATATATTGACTAGTTAATGCACAGTCTCTAAGAGGAAAAAATTACACAATCATAAATGCAGTGCAACCAAGGTAAATACAAAAGAATAAAAAATTCTAGATGGGAATCTAACTCTCACACTGGACAGTACTCTTCGAACTAGTACAGCTATTAGTATAAAATCACCATAATCAATTCTACAAAGTTTCCCATCAAATCGTGCAACTCCAGTGGCAATTTCCGTAAGTCAAAGACTAATGTTAAAACATTTGAAATAGGAAAAAAAAAAGTCAACAAAATGCACAGAAAGCAAACAGTTAAAAAAATCTGAGAGCACGGTTCGGACAGAAACCGTGCTGCCAGAGATTGCTGCCAGAGATTGAGAACGGACCAATAGTGGATGGCAAGAGTCAAAAAGGAAGGGCGAATTTGGCAGAGAGGGAAAATTGAGCGGAGAGCAAGGGAGAGATAGTGGAAGGAGAGAGAGGAAGAAACACACTCACCATTGGGGTCGTCGATGAGCTTCTTGGTCGGAAATGCCATGGCGAGACGGTGTCAGAGGAAGGCAATTGAAGAGGAGAACGACCGAGACGGAAAACCCTAGAAATGGTTTTGCATGAAACAGTTGTGAGAAGAGAGAGAGTGAGAGGGAAGAAGAGTTGTTGTTGTTGTGTCCTTGTTGGTTTGGTGGAGGTGTGGGTGTGGCTCTTTATATACTACGCAGAGAGGGAGTTGATAGTTAACTTCTTCGTGCACGGAAAATAAAAAAATTAAATTAAATAATAAGAATAAAAAGATCTTCCTTTATCCAAATCTCCATTTTCAATTCTCCTTCCCTTCCTTCACCCTAATCATTAGTATGTCATTTTTTCATTTACTAATTTTTAGTTTTTCATTCCATCACAAACTATTATTAATTATATCTTAGAATTTGAATTTTTTTCATCATCAATACTAATTTAATAGACTTTTATTATAATAAGATGTATTATTTTCTTAAACTTTTAAGATGAAATTCACAAATCATGTTTTTATTCAATACATGCAACTAAACTCACACCACACTAGATTTCCGATTATATTTTTCTTCTAAAATAATAAAAATTATATGAAAAAATCAATCAATAAATAAATACATGTCTTTTGTTTGTTTTACGTGAAGAAATATATAATCATGGTTAAGTAATTCAATAGTGTAACTTAATCCATAAAAAGTAGTAACTTAGTAAATTAAACATACTTTGTGATTTTTTTAAGATATTTTTAAAGAAGTCACTAGTTAATTATATTATTATTAAACACGCTTATAGATATTTATTTAGAGTTCAAATCATTAATCATACTATTATTTAACTCAAGTATTAGTTATAAGTATTTATTATTATTATTAGGTTTCATTAAAAAACTTTTACTTTTACTTTTCAATTTTGATTTGATTTGATTTTTTTATTTATTTTAATATATATATAATTAAAAATAATATGTATAATGAACAAAATTGAAATATAAAGATTAAAAAATAAAATTTATTAAACTAAGTAAATAAATAATTCTTATCATTGTAAAAAAAAAAGTTTGTTTATTTTTTATCATTATTAATTTTAACTAGTTTTTTTATGTGTATTTCGTGTACGTGTTTTTATCATCCTAATAGTGCTAGAGATTAGAAATAGTTTAAAGGGTAAAATGAGAATAAAATTTTAAAACAGAAACTCTAGGAAACATTTTATTCTTATTTTTATTTATTATTATTATTATTATTATTATTATTATTAAAATTTAAAACTAAAATTAGAATAATTCATAATTGATATAAACTATCCACATTCTTTTTCAAATGACTCAAATATATTATTAAGTTAATAAAAAATAAAAAGCAAGATTTTATTAAAAATACCTAGTAACTTTTTATGAAAATAAATCAATAATAAAATCTAAAATTTGCTTACCTAACCAATAAGTGAGTCAACCATGATACTAATTTTCTAATATACATGTGTTTCATTTCGTTTTAAAAAACAGTTTATTTTTATTCATCATTTAATTTGTTTATTTATTACAATAATCCATTTAATATTTTTTATATTTTTGGAATATTTTAATTTAATAAACATCCACATCGAAATAATGATGTGTATTTCTCCCCTAAATAGTGTTTTTCACTTCGTATTATCCGTCTTTGTTGTTGCACTCACCGGCCATGGAATCCAAGACTCCCCAACGATGCCGTTCAAGCAGTGTCATCCACAACCAGACGATTATCAGAGAGAAGAGGCCGAAACGCAGCGAGGTGCGTGGTTTAAGCTCTTACCCGCTTAGTGATCCTTTTTTTTTTATTCATCCTGAACGAAACCTAAACCATTGTTATTTTCTTGGTTCCATTTTTTCAGGTACTTGCCAAGAAGAAAACGGTTGAAGAACTCATCAAAACAGCATGTGCCCAAAAGGATCACCTGGCACCCTTTCCAGGGTTTCGTCATTTCCACGCCAAGGGTAACGTTTTGGATTTGTTAGATGTTATTTGATCAAACCAATTAGGTTATTTTGCAGGAGATTGAACTATCACTTGCAAGACTAATGTGACAACTTTGTAGATTGTCATTACCCAAATGATGTTTTACACTTATGTTATTCATACAACATGAAAAAAACTATATGTCATTACCAAAAGATTTTAGTTTTTTCTCTTTCTTACTTGTATAATTTGTTGCATGAGTTATTGTACAAATACCATTTCTCAATAATTATTAGATGAGTGAGATTGTGGTCACAACGAACTTGGTAACTAGCGAAGTTTTCCAATTAATTCAAATTCATGTTTGGATTAATTTGTTTGATGCTCTTATAATATACCAGCTTCCCCAGAAATTTAAACAAGACTGAACTTGCACTAATTACAATAACATGAGATGAGTCAATGAAAGAGGTGTTTGTAATTGATGATAATGTTGATTTTTGGGTTTGGATTTTTTGTTGTTGTTCTAAGAGCCTATTTTAACATGATTTTTAGGTCTCTCTTTGTGTTTGAAGTCAGGACATGGCAATAAACTTACCTCACCTGTTAAGAATTATATTCAGAGTCTCCTTAAGGTAGAAAGAATACTAGAACTTTAGAATGTGTGTGTGTGTTTATACTATAATGCAAAGGAGAATCTGTTATTTCCCCCCTACTGTTCAGGTGGTTTTTGTTCTGTTAAAAGATGCACTGAGTGAATTCAGTGAAAGAGAGAGAAGATTAATTTATTATTGAAACTCTGAGTTTTGTTTTTGTTTATTTATGGTGTCATTGACATGAAAATATGTCTTTTTTTTGGGTTTGCAGTTGGTTTTGTAAGTTATTGAATGAGCTTATGAAAATGTCTGATTTGCATATTCCCAAAACTGCAGCTAAACATGGAAGGACCTTATGGATCTGAGTGGCCAGAGGAAGAAAAGGTGAAGCGCAAAGAAATGATTTCTCCTGAAGCACATTATGTATTTGTGCATGAGGTAGCCAATTCAAATGCTGATGAGACGGCAACAATGTTGACTGCAGCAGAGACTTCAACATGTTCTCTGGAAAATAGTGGCCCCTTTGTTGGATTTGTACAGTATCGCTTTGTGTTAGAGGAAGAGATACCAGTGCTTTATGTGTATGAATTACAGCTTGAACCTCATGTTCAGGGGAAGGGACTAGGAAAGTTTTTAATGCAACTTATAGAGTTTATAGCGCAAAAGGTAATCTCAGTTGTTTTTCACATCTTACTCTGAAATGATGAAAATTGATAAGTGGTGCTGCATTGGAAAGGAAACAGCTTTTAAGCTGGGAAAAGATAATGGCCTAGTCAACATTATGATCATTGAAGAAACAGTTTATTTACTTTTATTATTAATGTACAGTGTTCATGATTTCCATTTGGAAAGTATACCCCTCAATAGGATGTCTTGTACAAGTTTTATGTTCATTGAACGTGGTCTCTTATATATTGTTTTCTTTGTTTTAATGTCTCTTATAGAACTGTATGGGCGCTGTCATGCTGACTGTTCAAAAGGCAAATGTGTTGGCTGTGAATTTCTATATAAGTAAGCTAAGGTAACATTTTCACTTATATATGCTGCTATCATCATGTCCTGTTTGATGAGAATGAAAGGGAAGAAAGAATTTCCCATCACCATTTGCTCCTGTTCTGATAGCCTTACTAATTTTATATCAACCTAAGACATTGATTCCATGGTAAACATATTTCTGTCTACTTTTGAGCAAGCATACTAGGAAAAACTTGACTTTGAAAGTCCTATTTTCTTAGTATTGTTGCAAAATGGCATTCGGATGCAGAGGGTCGGGAGGGGCAAACAGTGTTAAATCCTTTTGAAAGATGTAACTTATAATGCTTGAACATATATTGAAAAGAGTGATTGGAAAGCCCAAACCTCAATGTTAAAGAGAGGGTGAGTTATTTATTCAAAATCACGGGAAATTTGCATATAGCTATGTTTCATGCTGTGAACATTATATAAGCCCGGTTTGGATATACTTTTCAACATGCACTTATAGGAAAAAAAAAAAAGAAAATGAATCAAGAACGTAAAATGAGTCAAACCTTTCTCATAAGTTGAAAACAACTTATGTACCCCTTGTTTACAATCTCCCTCATTTATTTTCTCAATATGTTAACGTGTATAAATTAATTTTAACTTTTGAGGGAAATTTGATTTATTTTGCCTCCTTAATTCATGTTATTTCTTCTCCTATAAGTACGTATGGAGAAGTTCATCTAAACTACATTATAACTGTATGCTAATTTGCACAAATCCATGACATGTCAGTTGCTTGTGTCATTCTAATTTATAATTTGGCGATTATTATCTTATTTGTTATTTGTGGTGATTAATTATGAAGATATGGTTATTACAGCTTTCGCAGCATGTTAAAAACTAGTGGATTTCCAAGTCTTACAACTGTCTATTCTATGGTTTTGAACTTTCTTATAGATGACCTTATTTGGTTTTATCATAGATGACGTCTTAGTTACTTTCGACATTTTGCTAATTGCCTGTATCCCTCCCTTTTGGTTTTTGTTGTGTTCAATGATGAAACATTTCTGTTACAGATACGTCATATCAGCTACTTCACCTTCAAAAATCAATCCAATGGTATATAGATTTTTCTTTTCCCTTTTCCTGTTATCTTGTGAAAACTTTCTGCTATTAAATCCTGTTTTCCCCTTAAATGCAGATGAAGAAGAGTTATGAAATTCTTTGTAAAGCATTTAGTGATGAAGCTAAAATTATTTTAGAGGTAAAGCACCAACTCAGGGATCTGTCTGTTTGAATTTCTGAAAAAAGTCCCACTAATCTTCATAAAACACCTTTCGTTATGACCAATTTTATATAAATCAATCGGATTTAAGGTTTTTAACATCATAGATTTTGGACTGAATTTCGCAAAACTCATTCTGTCCTTCCCCAGTTAGCTCCATGTATATAAGTCATGTTCTTAAAATTCTACAATTTTAAGCAATTAAATTTCTGTCATAAATTTTTAGAATTCAATTTCTTTTAAAAAAATCTATCTAAAAAAAATTCCAGTAAGGTTTTTATCGCCATGACATTTTTATGCTTCACATTCTACACTGTCTAGATGATCTCCCAGGAACTGTGTGGTTGTTAACATTTGTCTGATCATGGTCTTACCATACATGTGCCAGCATGATGGTTGCTTAATCAGAGCAGATTTTCTTTTTCTCTTGGAAGGGAGGGGATTAGCCTATATTAGTTGAATTGAACTTCTCTGATTGATTGCATACCATATGTAAGCATGTGCTTCATTTAATTGACAATACCATGATATACTAATAATTGCTAGTATAAGCTGTTTTTGAAATACTTTAATACCTAGCATGCTGTTCTTTCTCTCCAGCAGAAAGATAATTTGATAGTGCTCCCATTGTCCGATTTTCCTTAGACCTTCACTTTGTTGAAACACAAACATTAACCTCGTTTTGTTTTCTTTTCCGTATACATCTCAAATTCATCATTTTTACTTATACAGCCTCCTTTGTTGTTTCCAGGATGGAGAACAGGAGTTGGTGCAGTTGGACAAAGATGACTCAAGTTATTAGTCCCATTTTCATAGGCTCTTGTACCAATTGAGAGACCTTCTTTATTGGGTTCTTTTTTTTGTTTGTTTCTTCTTCTTTTGCCTGTCCATTTAGAAGAATTTTCTTTTGTCACCATTGTAGACGCCAGCACCTCAAGATTTAGAAAATTATTTTTCTCTGAAAGGATTTCTATTAAAAGAAACTAAGAAGAAAAACACTTTCCATACCATGACATTAATTTAAAAACCAACATTGAGAAGCTACTACCAAAATATTCTATAAATTTACCTTTGCATAATTTTTCATAATAAGCAAATTTATTTTATGATTTATTTTCATTTTACTTTTTCTTAAAAATAATTTTAGATAAATTTATCCAATTATACTCAAATGAGTCCAACTCATCCATGACCAAAATGTTAATGACTAACATAAGGATGTTGGAACACAAATCATTACCTGCCAAAGTGAAGGCATCTGCTGACAATAAATTTATTGGTAAATAAAAGCCAAATGGTGTATGACGGGGCTGCTTGCTGTGTTATAGGAAAATTTGATTCTTTAGGATAATGTTTTTATTTTTATCATTGCCCTTTTAGTATTTTGAGTTGTATGTGGCAGATATATATTGGGAAATGTAACACGACAGAATCCATTAATCAACAAGAATATCAAATGTACTTTGCTTTTGCTTTGTGCCTTTTACATTTCATCGCAATTCTCAGCGCTTAAACACTAATGGAAAATCTGGGAGCCCTTTAATGTGCCAGACCTTTTCATGCAAGCTAAGATGCATTGTATATTTGATGCCCCACTTTTGATTTGGAAACGATATCCAAATGCTCTGCAGCATCTTTTCAGTTAGGAAAACTTTATGCATTTTGTATTTATTTAACTTTATTTTTGTCAATCTTAGCCCAAGTAATTTTTACTCAATCTTGGCATAAGTAGTGTAACTTCGCATGTGACCTAAGTAATTTCAACTTGCCGTTACATTTTTTTAATTATTCTCTACTAGAGTAAATTTAACTTGAATTCGGTTTTAGTAATTTCAACTGGATTTTGATTTTTTTTTTTTTAATTTAGCCTCGATTAAAATAATTTTATCTTATTTTTGTTATTCTTTATTTAGGTTGACCTGGACTGATGCATCATCACCAGGTCATCTTTGTTGTAACCTTAATTTGATTATTTTTTTATTGGGTTTTATTAAAATAATTTTAGTTTAGCTTAAATAAGTAAATTTTTACCTAAGGATTGTGTCTTCTTTTGATTTATTTTGTTCATGTCATATTTCATTTATTTTTCTATATTGTTTTTTTTTATTAATTAATGTTTTAATCCACACATATAACTTTTAATCTATGACAAGAAAATTATAGATCAATTATGATTAATCTCCAAAAAAAATTTTAATTAGTTTAAACTTAACATCTTTAACTCTTGATTAAGATTTCTTTGACTTAATTAAGTTATAATATATTTTGTTAAATCTCAAGTAAGACACATTTCAAATGGTTTCCACCATCTAATCTTTTGGATGGTCTTAATTGAACTTATTTTATTTATATACTGATCAAAATATTTTTCAACTAATCTTGGTCAAGTGATATTTTTGTGGTGATAACAAATTTGAATAAAGACTTCTCTTAACATATTTTAACCTCACCATTTTTTTCTTAACCACAATTATAATAATTTTCAACAACACATAGATTTTTTTTTTTATCAAATGTCGACCAAACATATATTTTAACAGAGTTATAATGAGACTTTTTTTATTTAAAATTGACCAAAACATGTTTAATTTTGTATTTATTATATCTAATAAAAAATTCTTTAATAATAAATAATTTGTAACATTTTTTATTTATCACAAAAATAAAATTCTATAACTTTTACAAGTTTACATTTAGGTAAAATTGAAAATATTAAAATTTTTTAAATTATAAAATTTCAATTTAAAATAAATTAATATTAGTTGAAATGATATATATATATATATATATATATATATATATATATATATATATATATATATATATATATATATATATATATATATATAATCATACTTGTAAGATAGGTTATATAAGACTTCTCTTGATATCCTTTTTTATTAAGGACAACTAATACAGACAACACAACTTCAATTAATAAAATGCATGATAATGAAGTAATAGTAAAATATTGTATTTTAAAGTAGGTTAGAGTTACAACTATATAATCTTATTTATAAGAATTTAGAAAATTTTAGAATATTACCATTATCATCAAGGAAATTAAGCTTTCTTGTTTGGGTTAACGTATGGGCGCAATGTGGCAGTTATCATTAGTTTTATATATATATATATATATATATATATATATATATATATATATATATATATATATATATATATATATATATATATATATATATATATGTATATATATGTATATATATATATGTATATATATATATATATATATATATATATATATATATATATATATATATATATATATATATATATATGTATATGTATATATATATATATATATATGTATATATATATATATATATATAAACTAAGAAATATTTAAAAAAAAATCTGAAATGAGGCTTGACTAAGAAATGAATGTCAAAACCAACGTTTAGATTGTTTATTATCTCAAGTTCTCACTTTTTGTATGGATGTGACAAATAAATCAAATATTAAAATTTAAGGAATAAATAATAAACACAAAATAAATATTTGAAGTATAAATAAGATTGAGAGATTATTTGGATTTTGTTTCTATCTATATTAAAAATATATTTTTGTAGATGACAAAATGGACTACCTATAATATGACGAGGACGGATTAATGTTTTCAGTTCATCAGCCACTTTGACCTATCTTGCAAGTATGTCAACTCGTTGGACCAGTCTACAACCCGTTTAATTAAAATTTTTTTTTATGATATTGTTAATCATAAAGATAATATATAAAATTAAAAATTGTAAAAAAAGAATTAAAAAAGTTTTATTCTTACTTTTTATAGAAAACATCCTCCTTCCTAAAACACAAGTTTCTATGTCTTCTTCTTATTGTTTATTATCTTCTCTTTATTCATCATACATACGAATTATTCTTATCATTATGACTTGAATTAAGATATAAGAATTACTAAGATAAAACAATGTGAAATTTTATCAAATAAAAAATATGGGTATTTAAATTTTTTAATATAAAAAATATAAATTTTACAAGTTTTGATGTTATATATATATATATATATATTATTTATTATTATATAACTTTTATTATTATTCTAAATTATAATTTCTTAAATAATATATTAAATTATATTAATAATTTAATATATATATATATATATATATATATTAAATTATTGATACACAAATAATAATTTCATTATTAAATTTATTAAAAATTTTAATTTTATTAAAATTATGACGGGAGAGACCAATATTTACAAACGAGTTATGAATATAGCGAGTAAGTCCATCCTATCCTATTTTTGGAGAATTAAAGATGAAATCGTGTTTGATTCCTATTTTATAAATAATCCATAAAAAAAAATTTTTATAAGGAAACCTCTTTTTCACTTATGACATTTTTATCTAATCTCACTCCATATAAGAAAGAGTATTTTTTTTTTAAATTGAATAACATAAATTTGTTTGAATGAATCAAAATTCATTTACTCCACTTAAAGGTTTCAAAGCATTGAAGATACGAAGAATCATCATTATTATATTAACTTAAATATATATATATATATATATATATATATATATATATATATATATATATTCTAATACAAACTATTATTCTCATTTTTTTAATGACAAGATGATTTAAAAAAATAATCAAATCTCTTATTTGTACGAACGTAAAAAGTTTGACCTAATCTTAGATTAAAAAATTAGTAGAAATCCACATGCGTCACACTCATCTTAGAATTTACTGATACGCAATTAACATATATGATTAAAAGGTAGTCATTAACGTTAAAACATATATGTTATAATACGTGACTTATAAATAGATCATAATTTTTTTTATCAATCATTTTATATTCATTCAAAGACTTTTGTATGATATCTGAATTCTCATTTTATTATATTAAATTAAAGTATCAAATCGTCTTTATAAATGAACTTCTTTTTTTTCAACTATTAGCCAAGTTTGATTGTTCAATAAATAATAAGATGACAATAATTCATATCAACTTCCCCAAACTTATTTATTATTGGAATTTTTAAAAATAAACTTGATTTTAATCAAAATAACTCAAGCTAAGAAAATTATTTTATTTATATTATCTTAAACTCAACCTTAATCAAAATGTTAAAAAATTCGTCAAATTATTAAAATCTAATAAATTATATTTAATTTATTTTTAATTATTTTTATTTTTATAATATATATATATATATATATATATATATATATATATCTTAATTTACACAAATTAAAATAATATAATAAATATTTTTGATATAATAATCTATACTAACTTTAATTCTCTTCTGATACACAACTCTTTTAATTTTAATTTCAATCTAATGTGATTTTTTATTAACAAGTTACTTAACTTATAAATATTATATTTTTCTTCATCATTTCATATTTTTTTACTATTAGTAAATAATAAATAATTTGTTAAGAATAGTTATTATATAAAAATCATAAATAATAATTAACAAAAAATTTTTATTCTTATATATTTATAATTTTTTTCTCTCAATTTTAACAAAATATTTATAATTTTATCTTCTTTATTTTTTTTATCTATTAGTAATATATTATTTATTTTTCAAAATCAATGATGAAAATCCGTAGTTAAATAGTAATTATCATTATTTAATTAATATAAATGACTATAAGAAATGGTTTGGTTCTAAAGAATAAATATGTTAATGGACTTTCAATTTCAGAATCGTGGCGGCAGGGGCCAGACGACGGCGTCTACTGGTTTCTCTTCCCTCCTTCCCTACTTTGAAACACAAGCTCGCCTACTTGCGCCCGATGGTTGGGAACAAGTCACGTTAGAGCCAAATATGAAGACAGCGCTACGGCTATCTTCCTTCACGCGCCTTCTTCACACAAGTTCTCCCCCACGCGCCACCGCGTTCAACAGAATCCTCGCCTCCCTGGCCAGGGCGAAGCGCTTCCCGGCCGCGATTTCCCTCTGCGCCCAAACGGAGTCCCGCAGGAGCTTCATCCCCTGCCACGTCACCCTCACCATTCTCATCAACTGCTTATGCCAAGTTGGCAAAGTCGCTCTCGCCTTCTCCGTCTTCGGGAAACTCCTCAAGCGCGGCCTTCCCTACGACGTCGTCACTCTCAACACCTTAATCAAAGGCCTCTGCCTCGACGGTGTCGTTTCGTCGGCGCTCGAATTTCACGACGAAATGGTTGCGGAGGGGTTCGAGTTCACCGAAATTACCTACGGAACGTTAATTAAGGGACTCTGCGATATAGGGAAAACAGAAGCCGCTGTTAGATTGTTGAGAATGATGCAAGATTGTGTTGTTAATGTTAAACCTAATGTTTTTATCTATAGTAGAATTATCGAGGCTTTGTGTAAGGAAGGACGTCTGAATGAGGCGTGTGAGTGGTTTTATGAAATGATTCGTAACAATGTTGAGCCTAATGTGTTCACTTACAGGCCTCTTGTGAGAGCGTTGTGTGTCGCCGGCCGTTTAGACGAGGCCGTTAGGATGGTGGAGGGGATGATTTGTAACGGTCTGTACATTGATGTTTATGTGTTTAGTGTTTTGATTGATGCGCTGTGTAAGAATGGGATGATGGTGGAAGCACGGGAGGTGTTTGACGAAATGATTAAGCGGGGTTGTGAGGTTAATGTTGTTACATGCTCGGCCTTAATGGCGGGGTATTGTTTGAAGAACGAAGTGGATGAGGCGAGGAGGTTGTTTGACGCGGTTGTGCGATGGCCGGATGTTTGGAGTTATAATGTTTTGATTAATGGGTATTGCAAGGTTAGGAGATTGGATGATGCAATGAAGTTGTTTGATGAAATGTGTGTGAAGGGCGTGGTTCCAAATCTTGTGACTTATAATTTGTTGGTTGATGCTTTTTGTAAATGTGGGATGGTGGTGTTTGCGTGGAAGGTTGTTAAGGCAATGTGTGAGAGTGGTGTGGCGCCAGATGTTGTTTCTTACAGTATCTTGTTGGATGGTTTGTGCAAGATACAACGTCTTGATCTGGCAATTGCGATGTTTAACCAGATGTTGAAGAGGGGTGTGGCACTTGATGTTTGGAGTTATAGTATATTGATTGATGGCTGTTGCAAGAATAATAGGATAGGTGAGGCCATGAATTTCTTGAAAGAAATGTATTTAAGGAATTTGGTTCCTCATATTGTGACTTTCACTTCTCTTATTGATGGGTTGTGCAAATCTGGGAGATTGTTGTCTGCGTGGAGGCTTCTGAATGAGTTGCAGGATAATGGTCCACCCCCTGATATTATTGCTTACAGTACATTGTTGATCGCTTTATGCAAAAGTGAACATCTTGACCAAGCAATTTTATTGTTTAACCAAATGATTAGGAAGGGTTTGGCACCTGATGTTTGGAGTTATACTATCTTGATTAATGGACTATGCAAGAGTGAAAGGATAGATGAAGCCATTAATCTCTTAAAAGAAATGCATCTAAAAAATTTGGTTCCTGATACCATAACTTACATTTGTCTTGTTGATGGCTTGTGCAGATCTGGGAGAATCTCCTATGTGTGGAAGCTTCTTCATGAGATACATGGCAATGCTCCACCACCTGATGTGGTCAATTACATTGATGCTCTTTGCACATATATGCATCTTCGTAGCTTTAATACCTGACGCATAACTTTAAATTGCATTGCTAAATGCTGCACAGAATTTTCCAAGCATCTTTTAATTGAAGGATGTTGGTCACATGTCCAAAAGTATACCAGTGTGATGAATGGACTTTGTGTGACGAGAGATTGTGCGATGAACAAAGAGCTTGCTTTAAAAGCTGGGAAATTTCTTACTCTTCTGAGATCCATAAGAGGAATTTCTACATGAAGCGTCTCTGGATAGAGGCCTTGTTAGATGATACAATAAGGTCAGTTATTTTAGTTTTAATTTCAATTATACTTAATAATGTTGAATTTGAATTTGTTTGAATATTTGGCGAATCACATGTTTCCTTTGGGCAGAGAAATTGAAGCACAATGGTAAAATTGTTTCTGTTTAAGTTTGTTTTAACTTTTAATTTGTTGTCATTGCTAGACTAGCCATTTTAATGTTACATGACTTTGATCCTTCCTCATTTCCATTGTATTCCTGATATACCCGCAGAGAGTGTTTATGCAATCTGAATGGTTTTGTAAATAACCTAATAATACCACAAGCAATGTAGAACTTGACATTGCTGTACTGCATGCAGTTCGTGAACAAAATCATTTCCACATTTTGACTCCCTTCATGTTTGCAGTTTCTGAACAAAATCATGTTATGTTTTGCAGGGACTAATCAATAAGAAAGCCTTTGAAGAACTCATCAAAGTCGGATCAGCTTGCTTCTTTCCTCACCATCGCAATTTCCGTAGAAATCATATCTGTTTTGAAGTGAAAGATATGTTAATAGCGTTTTAAATATAAAGATGGAAGAACACGTGCTGCTATCAGATGGCTCAAGAAAATGAAAGAAAGATGTTGCAATTTAGATGTTACAGCTTATAGAACAATTATTGACCGTCCTTTGGGAGGATAGGTAGGCATGTGAGGCTTTGGATTTGTGCTTGGAAATGACTGGTAAAGGCATTCGACCTAATCTTGCCACTTACACTTCCTTAATTCATGGACTTTGTGACTTTAGTAGATGGAAGGAGGGTTCGGATTTATGGTTGGAAATGACTGGTAAAGGCACTCAACCTAATCTTTTCCCGTATAATTCCCTATGTCATGGCTTTCATGACGCTAGATGGAAAGAGCTGCAATTGGGTAACGTGTTCAGAAAGGGAATCATGCCAGATGTGCAAACTTTCAGTGTTGTAGCTGACAAATTTTGCTCTGGGGGGGGGGGGGGACCCTGATGTATTATTCATCTGTACATCAATTATTAATGTTCAATGTTTACAAAATCAAATGAAGACACTGCAAAGCATCAGAAATAACCTTAAAACCAATTGGATGAAGGGAAAATTTCCAACAAATATACAATCCACATCCCAAAAACTGAGGCAAGTGATTTAAGATTTCTCAACCCCTCCCCTAAATAGATGCCTCTCGAAACAAGTATGTTATGATAGGCAATTAGCAAGATGAATTATAGATTTTGACATCATGTAAGAATTCATTTGAAAGATTAGTTGACATAAAATGAAATTGTACAATCGAATCCAAAAATTGAGTAGATGATAGAAGACTTTTCAACAAAAAGTATTTGATGATTTATAAGGTTTACTTACCAAATGTTGTAACTTATAATTCATTAATCCATCTCTTTGATGAAATGATTTATAATGGACTTAATCCGGATGTTGTCACTTCAAGCACTCTGTGGGGGGGGGGGTACAAAGGTGGAAAACCAGTAGACGGAAATAACTTTTTTTGCAATGCGCAGACATGACCAACTTCCTGATCTCCAAACTTACGCCATTACATTGGATGGCCCATTCAAGTGATATTTCTATGCTGAGGCTATATCATTGTTTAGGGATTTGGAGAAGATGAATTTGGATCTTAATATTGTAATTTATGGCATTATGCTCAATGGAATGTGCAATTTTGGAAAGCTAAGTGCTGCACTGTGGAACTCTTTTCTTCTCTGCCTGCTGAAGGTTTGAAAACTGATGTTGTTACCTATATGACATTGATTAATGGTCTTGCAAAAAAGGACTATCGATGCTCCTCCTGAAGACTAACTAACGAATATGGAAAAGAGTGGTTGTCCCCCTAATGAGCACACTTGTGATGTCTTTGTCCAGGGATTGCTGCAAAAATATGACATTTCAAGATCAGCAAAATACCTTCAACTAATGAAAGGCAAAGGATTTCGTACAAATGATACCACCACAAAAGTTTTAATTAGATGCTTCTTGGATACACTACTACAAAATATACTTTCTACGTCGTTATTTAACGTCAGTTATAGTTGAGACGACGTAGAAAGTACTTTCCACGTCGGTTCTCAGATGAACCGACGTTGAAATTGAATATTAAACACATTCTACGTCGGTTCTTAGTCAACCGACGTAGAAAGTACTTTCTACGTCGGTTCCCATATGAACCGACGTTGAAAGTCTTTTTTTATTTTATTTTTTACTTACTGATAGCGGTTATAAGGGAACCGCTATCTAATATACACTTTAGATAGCGGTTCCCTTATAACCGTTATCTAATATGCACTTTAGATAACGGTTCCCTTATAACCGCTATCTAATATACACTTTAGATAGCGGTTATAAGGGAACCGCTATTATATCCTCTCAATTATGATCGATCATTTCAAGTTATGATCAATCAGAATCTAATTTCGCTCGAGCGAGGGTAGTGTCGCTCAAGCAAAATACAACCCGAGAATGCTAATTTTGTGCAGGGGGCGTTTTGCTCGAGCGAGAAGGGTGTCGCTCAAGCGAGATACATTTTAGATAGCGGTTAACCTGGAACCGCTATTATATTGTTTCAATTATGATCGATCAGAATGTAGTTATGGCCGATCAGAACTATTTTAATTGATTAAATCTCGTTTCAATCGATTAAAACAATTTACTGCAGACGTTTTAATCGATTAAAACTTATTTTTATCAGTTAAAATTACTTGAAAAGTGTCACGAGAAAGTTTTGCGAGTATTTCAATCGATTGAATCGCGAAACAATCGATTAAATCAACTTAGAAGATTTTTTGTAAAGTGTTTTAATTGATATAAACGTTGTCGTATCAGTTAAAACAAATATGTTAAAGAATCAAGAACGTATTAATGGATTAAAAGAAGTTTTAACAGATTAAAACTGCACTTTTAACAGATTAAAAGAATCTTTTAACAGATTAATTAAACCAGCGAGTTTTGAAAATCTTCTATAAAAACAGTTTGGCTTGAACTTTTTTAACATACATTGAATATATCATCTTTTACACATCCTTGAGCAATCAATCAATCGCTAATTGCGACTGAATTAAAGTGGGGGTTGACTCGAGGTTAGAGTTCGACGTCACTAGGGTATGCGTTAGGGTTCGAGCTCCGTCTGGGTTTGCGTTGGGTTTCACGAGCATGACAATTGGGTTTGGCTTGACATTGGGGTTCGATGTCGCCAGAGTTGGGGTTCGGCCTCGAGTTCGTCGAGGTTGAGGCTGGGGTTGAGATTCAAAGTTACTATTTGACATTTTTCTAGTAGTGAAATTTACACGGATATATATTTATTTGTATATAAATATAATTTATTTGTAAGTTATTATCAAAAAATTCAAGTAGTTTAGTGGTTGGAGTATCGACCTCCAACTCTAAAGTATTGGGTTCGAATCCTGCCAATGACAATTCTCTTAAAAATTAAAAAACTTCTAAAAAATATAATATAAAGAGATGGAGGACCTAATAAAAATATAATATGAAGAGAGGGAGACTTCTAGATAAATAAAAGGGGGTAAAGGGGTTGTAAATAAATAAAAATTTATAAACTTTCAACGTCGCTCGATACAACGTTGGTTATTAAACCGACGTTGAAAGCTTTATTTGTAGTAGTAATAATAAAGAAAGTAGTTGCATTTGCTGTGTTCTTGATGAAGTATGTTTGAGTATATATAACCTTGTGTATTCAAAATATCGAGGCCAACCCGTTAGTAGAGTTTGGCTCTGTACACGGGGTTTGATACAAGTCATTTTTTCATTTGTCAGCCATATGTAATATTACAGTGGACAATATTTGCATGACAATTAGTATTATCGGAGTAATATATAGTTATTCCAAAAAATACTATCTTTTGATTCCTAACTTTTCCGATGCTTGGATGGGAGGAACATCACACAAACTCCCAATTTCAGTCTCAATTTAGCTCGTGAGATGTAATTGTAACCGACTCTTCTACCATGTTTTGCATTTAATGGTTAAAAGATTACTGCTTTAGTGTCATATTTTACATGAATGTGACTACTCGAACATTGTTAGACTATGAGGGAGGTAAGACCATGGAACCTTCAAATTTTCCTTTGATACTGACCGTCTATCTTTTAAGTTATTGTTATTTAATAATTTATGCAGTTTCATCAAATGGCTTAAGCTTGATGTATTAAGAAATATTAACTGATGAGGTTTTTGGGTTGGATGAATTTTAAACATAGAACACAGGAATATTGAATTTGAAATCCTAATACCAGTTTCAAGTATTTGTTCATATTACAAACAGGCCAAATTTCTATGCTTTGCATCAGCAGTTTCTTCTTTTCTTCCTCCAAAAAACATTGAGCAACTATTTCTCGGGCTTCTTATGAATTCTCTAATACAAAAAGCCAAAAATAAACCAAAAAATAATACGTCCCAAAGAATTCAGTTACCATATGCATGTCTTCCTAGGATCTTAAAAGGCTAAAACCTCATTTGAGAAATGGTACAATGAGAGCTGAAATCTGTTGGACGAAATGCCTTTGTTGTAATATTTTGGATCATGTTCATTTCCCTGCCACCCAGATGTCTGCTGTGAACATTGCTCGTACAGGTCTATGATCAGACAGTCTTGACTCACTCCTGTTGTATTGGATTTGCCTCATTCCCTTCCCAAACCATATTATTCTATCGCACCTGCAATACCATCTTGTTGTTAGAGGATCCCATTCTTGCTTATAGTTCATGTAAAAGATTTGAAGTGGGACTTTGGTCATCGCCTTGTCCTAAAAGAACATAGCAGTGTTATGTCATGGAAAAGTAATAACATGGCTCGCTAAAGGAAGTTCATGTTCTCAAGGGAGCTGAGAATCATCCAAATTGTTTATGTATGCTTACCATGCTGGAGAACGCCCCTTTTTGCTTGAATGCTGCTGATCACAGCCTAGATAATCTTTAGAGTTTGGGCGATATTTGTATGTAGGTGGAAACTCTATAGCTCCTTCATGCCAACCTTGGAACACACTGCCATCCATGAGCTCCACCTTGAGCTATACAAAATTTGCATGGAGTTTAAAATCTTGAACTCAAAACACTGCAGTGACTTATTAATAATGAAAACCTTTGCCTTAAACGGGTTTTAATTTTGAACTTAAAGAATAATGGTAACTAACCTTAGAATTTAGACTAAGACCTCACTAAACCCTACAAAATTGATATGTAAGTAATTGCAAATATATCCTAGATTTGTTATTTGGTTAATTAACTGGAAATATGATCAATATACAAGACTTTTACCAACTTTAGAATTTGGGCTGGGGTTAACTCCACAAAACCAACTTCTAATTATTTTGAGAATATTTCTAATTCACGTGGGATTTCAATATTAGCTTATCCAAAATATAGCCATGCAAGAAGTAACATCAGCTTTACCTGATCATGCTTCAACAAGGTTTCCCACTCTCTTCTCTTGATCAATGATTGTGTTGCAGAGTCTGGCATATAAATCCTGTAGTTCAAGTCACCTAGCCAGACTATTCGGCTGCATAGAACCAGGTACCCATTTTAGATGAAGTTCTATTGAATGTGTTCAACTTATATAGTGGACTATACACAATTACACAGACTATACTTTGAATAGTGGAATGGATTACGTATCCAAAACTAGCTAAATATTGTTCAATCAAAAACCAAAGTTTGAGGAACTTGAAATAGTTACATATCTAATATAAAATGATAGTATGTATATCACCTTGTTGAAAAAAAAAAAAACGAAACTTATTCCTTCAACTTAAGATAATTTCCTACAATATACACAATTTAGTAGTGTACACTTACTCATGATCAATAATCTTTTGAGGCTTATCATGCAGAGGGCCAGAGGGGAAGATTGTCCTGGACAAAATGTTCGTTGCATTAACGTTTCTTTGTCTTCGGTCTGCTTCTTTCCCACCAGATGCTAGATGACTACATACAAAGCAGAAGCTTGTTGCATGCAAGAAAAATCTGATTGATACTGAACCCTGTATTTTAAGATCAATTAAAGAACTAAGAATTCATGTAAAGTTTCAAAACTACCATTTAAATTCTCAAACACGTATTTATTTAGTTAAAAACAAAAACATGGGTTCTATTTCTATATAACAAGTCAAACCAAACCTTGTTTCCTAGGCAACCCATGATTCCACAACCAACAGATGAGACACTTAAGTGCCTAATTTTTTGATAGAGGGCACATCGAACCCAAATGGTAATGAACATTCCCACCATTTGCTTGCTTATGATGCACTGGAAATCTTGTCCATGTTCTCCATCGGCACAAATATGTTCCTTCAAAGGATGTATCTTTTGTGATTCAGCTATTTTATCTCCCTCAACCACCTTTGCTGCTGTCCTATTGTTAAGGGCTGCTCCAATTAGAGAATTCCATTTCGTAGAAACTTTTCTGTTTCCTGGACCTAATACGTTAGCTGCATTTAGAGGTACAATTTCTTGGAACCTGGTTTATCACACATAATGAAATGATAGGAATCCAACAGTTTAGTTTCTATGCAGTTGACTCTCCCATGATATTTTAATTAACAGTAGAAAATGATTACCCCAGAACATAAATATCTGCTGAATTATTTTCAGTATCAAGCCAGTCTTTCATGTCCAAGTTCTTGGGTGGTGTAATGCCTCCAATATTCCAGGAACCAACAAAGATCCTTGTGCACGTTAATATCCAAATCAGAGTTGCATTCAGGGTGATAGAATATCCCCAGAAAAGGATTAAAGTGACAGAGAACAATTTTTCAAGAATTTATACTATTTTGACCTCATACTTTTTGGTTTCATGATAGAAGCATCTTCTTGAGTATGCAGATGCTTGATTCAAACTAGGAGTTTCCATTCTGGCCTCTGATGAATTCTGGTTTTCTCCTTTGAAGCTAACATTTTTTAGTATCTTTCTCATGATCTTACTCTCCTTCAGCTTGAAGCCCTGCATGATCTTTGAATGAAATATGTTATATACTAATCAAGCAAAATAGAGAGGGGGAGACACACTGAAGGAAACATGGGAAGAAAAAGAGATACCTACTTCCTGCACTCTTTATATGATGTTCTAGCCAATGGTTTTTTACAACAACTCTACCAAAATATAGAAGTGGCATATCAAACCAGAGAAAAATAAGAAAAGAAATAAACTGCATCAAATATCAAGAGAAGGGGTTATTATGGGAGTAGGAAGGGGATTTATAAGCATGCAGCTTAATTAGTCAAATTGGTTATGGACAAATTCTAGCCATGATTGTCATTAAACCTAAACCTAGACCTAGCTATTTGCATAGGTTTTTTGAGGGATACTTATGTTTGGCGTTTGAATGGAATTGTTGGTCGTTTTCATTGCACTCCTTTCAACTCTAACCATGTGCAACCATAAACATTCTTTTCTTCAAACTTAATTCATTTTAATCATTTTAAGGGACAAAACCATTTCAATATATCTACCATGAAGCTTAGTTAAAAGCTTCCGATGTTATGCCCTAAACCATCATATATTAAGCCATTATTCTACGCTCTAAAAATGACACAACGCTGCATGCATCCTTATCAATAAAAACATAAATTAAAGCACAAAATCCAAATTCATTGAATCGAAGCAAGAATTGATTCCTTTTGCATTAGAAAATGTGAAATAAATATGTATATGACCAAGTATTTTTTACAAACTTTTCTATGAAGATTTTCAAAGAAAATAAATAAACTAAACTTCTTCAAGAATTAAAACTAGTTTATAAACAGGTTAAACATAAAATAAATAAAAAAAGGTATACGAAAGAGTTTTTACAAATTAACTTACATATATTTTAATTTTAGTTATAAAATTTTATTTCATCTTATAAAAAGTCTTAGAGAAATTTATTCAAACAAATTTAAACAAGAAAACAAAATGGAAGAGGTTTTCCTTTCATTTGGTTAAATGTTAAAAATGAAATAATATATATAATCATTTGACATAATTCAATATCTAGTATGAAATTGATCCGAATTTATAGGGTTTTTTATGTGTATTTATGATATGTGAAATATATTTCAGGATATACTCTATTTATATATAGAGTAAAAATATTACAAAATATCAAATATTAATAATGTTTGAATTAAAATAATAACTTAATATCTTTTTATCTTATCTTAAAAGATAATAAAATAATATTCTCAATATTTTTTCTTACTTTAACATTTATTTATTTAAATTTGATATTTTTTTACTTGAATTTTTTTTTGTACTTGTCATCTTCCTTCTTATGTGAGATTATATTTTTATTCAAATTCACTTTCTTCGTCAAAGTATTTCTTTGTTTATCAACTTCATTTTCTTTGTTTCTTTCAAATTTTATAGTAGTACCGTTGACCCTTTGATCCTTAACATCAAGTTCTTTCAAGAAATATTCATCATATTTTTTCTTTGACTTTTCTTTTATATCCTCGTCTATAGTAAACCCTTTTCTCATCAAATCTAAAATGAAAATTTTTTCCTTTCATGTGAACTTTAAATATTTTCAAGTTATTTGTATTTTTAATCATACAAAGTTGTGTCATCTTATAACGTTTCTCCAATAATTGAACAACATTTAATAAATTATGATTAATATAAAAATATATAAAACATCAAAAATTAATTTGATACCTGAATTACTTTTAACTACAATTATTCTTGTACCTTTCACTTCCATTTGTTCTCCATTACCAATTTTCACTTTAGAAATAACATATTTGTTGAACTCTTTGAAAAATTCTCAATCATAAGTCATGTGATTTGTATAACCATTGTCTACAAGCTAATAGGTGAATTTGTTAATTATAGAACATACTAACGCAAGAAGAAATTTTCCTTTTACTTCATCATCTATAACCTTAACGACTTTTGTTAGTTATGATTTGCATATATTTTATATATGTCCAAATTGATCACATTTATCACATCAAGTCTCCAACACTTATTGTGTGGGTGATTATTTTTCTTGCAATAAAGACAGACAGTAAAAACACTTAATTTGATACCTTTATTGTTCTTAGCTTGGAGAGAACTTTCGCCATGATCTGATAAAGAACCTTCAATAGTAACATAATTTCTTCTTATCAATCTCTCGTTGTTTTTGCGCTTATAAAACATGTAATACTTCTATCAAAATAATATTAGACAAATCTTTTATATTTTCTAATGAGATAATAAAAACTTCATATCTCTCTGCACAATTACAATCATTTTCTCAATTATTTTAGAATAAGAAAATTCATACTATTATAAAATAAGAAAATTCTTACTATTATAAAATAAAAAAAATTCATTGTTTAATAATTTTATGTTATTAACAATATACGAAATTTGTTTGAAAAATATTATCACGTCAAATTCTCAATAAATGTGCTGCATGCACTGTTTTGAAAATACCGGTCATTTTAATTAGTTTAATGGAGAATTGAATTAAAAATAAGTTATTTTTAAATAATTAGATTTTAATTAAATTAAGATAAAATTAAAAAAAGTAAAACAAAATTAATAAAATTGGATAAATTTTTAAATCGAACTAATTTAAAAAAAATATGATCCATTTTTTAATATAATTTTTCATAAAAAATTAATATATTTTAATTTTTTTATATTAATTACATTAACTTTAAATAATAATTATTTTATTATATATTTATCTTATTTTATCAATTAATTATCTTATACATTTTAATATATTTTATATTTATAAATTTTAGTAGTGATAATCTTTATTATTTTTTTATATATAAAAATTGTTACTAATAAATTTATTATATTAAAAAAATATTATTTTATTAAATCAAACAAATACATCTAAATTTGTAAATCCTGAATCATATTGGTTAAAATGTTTAACTGAATAGGGTTCACGGGTTTTCATTTTTTGAGAACTAAGATGATTGCTTTGACATGGTTGATGTGATAAGTATGATTCCTTGAAGTGGATTATTCCTCACAATATTTAATCCTTTTATACTATAAAAATGTTGCAAGATATACAAGTGTCAAATTTAGGTCGCATTAAGATATTTATTATTAAAAAATGCGAGAAATGATTGAAGTGTGGCAGAGGATTTTGTTCTTAATTCATACAAAGACAAAAGGGTAAAAGCATTGGACGGTGGGGAATGAATGACTCATTCACGCAAACCCTTTATAAACCCTAGGCTTCAATTATATATAGATTCTATGAACTTTCTTCATCATTTTATCACTATGTCATACCTTCTTATTTATCATTGTACTATATGGGAGTAAATGTAAGAGAAACACTGTTGATCCATCACCTTGTTGGTAACATGTCTACTCAATAACTGAATAATCTTGATCAATTAGATAACTAAAACACAATTTTTCCAGTTTAAGTGCAACATCATGATATGTTTAGGGTTTAGGGTAGGTGTCCATGGTCATGTAATTTTATCATAATTCAGCAATAATAATGCCCAACTTAAGCTGTACAATAACATATCCATGTAGGTAATACCAGGCCTAGGAGCTATAGATGCCACACATTTTTTAATCTATGCATAGAGCTCACCCTTATCTTAATTTCTTCTACTCTAGTCTATAGCTATGTAGCTTTTAGGTTTCATCCTATTAAGAAATATTCATTCTCCTAACAATCAAGCAGAGGAAAAGCTTTCAATAAAAAAATTATAAAATCAATTCATTTTCATTTTTCCTCATCTCATCTACTGTGTTTCTTCCCTTTGTCAGGTATTTTTTTAGATCTTCTGAAAATAATATGTTGCTTAATTATGAATAGGGTTTTGTAGTCATATGAACTGACTTTTCCCTTCTTTCGTCTTATACAAGTGTTTATGTTGTTTTTATATGTAAAATATATTTTGTGGAAGAACTTCCTATATCTAAATAAATGAGAATAATGCTCTTTTTTTTTTTTTTTATCTAAGTAAGATTTTAAAATTTTAAAGAAAAATTATGTCATGAATGACTTTCACACACCTGATCTAACTTTTATAAACATTCCCTTATCTTATATTTTTAATAACACTTTCTTATCTTACATTTTAATAAAAGAGACTTACCTTTCTTATTTTTCCAAAATTTAAATATGTATTTTTCTAAAAAAAATTATTAAAAATAAAGTTACAGATATTTAAACGAATACTTTTAGCTGTCTCAAATCAAAGAAAGCTCTAGTTTACTTAGCTTTGCATGATAAGCAAGGTTGTAACAGGTGGTCGTCTACTCCGAATTCGCAGCTAATGGTTAATGAGTAGATCAGAATTAGAACTTCAAAAGTTACATCTGGGCTTAATTTAATTAAATGATGGACCGATCGAGTAAGTACAATTCAAGAACTTTAGTCACTTGGCAGTTTTGAATTTTCACTTATGGATAAATTTAATAACAAATAATGCGAAGCTCATCTTCATAACTTGCATGCAATTATATGGGCCTTTTTCTTCTATGAAAGAGGGGGCAGTCGAACCCACAACTAAACATACAGGAGAGCATTCAGCCACAATGAGTGAAAATACTTAACACAAATTGAGAGTACATGTTACATTCTTACGTAAAAAATCCCTGATTAATATTTGAGATTACTCATACCTCCTCTCCTATCCTATCCTTCGCTTTTGAAGGACAAAACTGTAATAATTAAGTAGGTTCCACACAAAAATAAAAAAAATGTAAACAAGAACCTTAAGATATTAAGCTACAAATATGTATCAGAGATCGTATGGCCCTGCAGCCATGCCTACTACCCTGTGCGCCTTCAACCCACAAGACCATACATGGAAGGAAAACTGAGCCATAACGATCAAGGACGCAAGACCTAAGAAGAATCAAATTACTGTGTCCAAGGTCGTTATCGACGTCCTCTTCTGCCGTTCCCTCGTTTCCCTCTCCCCTGACCACGAAACACTGGTCTGTGGGGCTTAAGCCCCAAGGACTGTACTCCCCTCTTTTTCCTGTGTGGCATCTCTTTATCATCATCTTCCTTGTACTTAGCTTTACTTCTCGAGGTGAAAGTGATTTCCCGTGATCCTCCTGCACCCTGCTTAACACCATTTGGAACACGAGAAGATTGTTGGTCATGTTTGAGAGTTGCCACTCTGTCTCCAATAGGAAGTGACTCCTCCCCTACAAATGATTTTTGGCTCCAGAATGCCTCTGCATGCTGCTCATTCTTAATTTCATACATTCTGCATTTATGTAAAAATGCATCAGTAATTAAGAATTAAAAGTTATAGAACAAAATAACTACGTATTTCATACACATGTAGCTAATAACTTACGAAATTTCTGATAAAGAATCGTCATTAATTATAAAAAGAAAACCATCAAAAAATTCACATAAAGGAAAAGAAACTTTAAAAAACATTAGTAACAGATTCTCACCTAGGAACCCGAGATTTGTCTTTCACTCCATTAGCAGGTTCATCATGTGATGATGTTGATGCATCAGAATCACTTAGACTTTGATCATCATCCGACAGGACAGGTTCGAAATGTTCTTTTAACAAGGATGTTTGCTTCTTAGAACCCATGGGATGTAAAGCTAGATATTCTTGTGAGGAATCCTTAATCTCAAAATCCTGAAACCGAACAAGAAGTAATAACTGTAAGAAAGAGAATCTGTCTCGAACAAAGAAAAGGCAGTCATAAGTCATAACAAATTACATGGATCCTCCAAATTTACCATTACATGCATTCAAATACTTAATGTTGCAATTGAATTTGAAATTTGTGGTTAGGAATTCTTGTATAGATAAATTTACATTGAGCATCCACTATAAATTTAAAATGATATGCTTAGCTGGGGTGGAAAAACAGTCCAACAATGATTTATCTGTGGGCCAAATTTTGATGTATCGTTAATCAACAAGGACACTAAATTCCATTGAGGATGGTGGGAAGTTACAATGTTTTAATGTAGCCAGCTATGATATGTAGATATGTATCTTGAAAATAGTTAGAATAAAAGGGCTGCGGTGAGAGGATAAAATCATTAAAAAGACTAAAAACAACTGCCATATTTCATATTACAGTACCTTATCCGTAAATATTGCTTTAAATCGTTCATCTTCAAGATCTTGCATGCTAATACCCTTCTTTTTCTTGGATGCCCTTTTAGTTTCATCATCAGCATCTCTCTTCTCATTTTCAGCTTCTTCACTTTCTAGGAGGCGAGCTGCAAGGGCCCGATTAACCTTGGGCAACTTTTTCCTGACCTGCAAGGAGAATGAAGGAGGCACAGCAGGATTATAAATGTTTTAGTCATCCTTCCTATGTAATGCATGAATATAAAAACTAAAATGATCGGATAAGGAATCAATTTTACCGTGATTCGTGAGGCACGCTCAGCTTCCATCTTTTCTCGCTTTTGCTGTTCAATATAAGCTTCATATTCAAAAGGATCCGCCAGCGCTTTTGCCTACAAAAATAATTTATGCATCATGTAATAGGACAAAAAATAATCCAGGTCTAGCAACATCTAAGAAGAATAACTACAATATAAAGATGATTTCTGCTATTATCATAACCAATCAGGATAAATATACATAATTAGAGTGAGACCATGCAAAGTACAACTAAGCCGAGGATCTGATATTCTCCAAAACAGAAAAAGTAAAACACCAAATGAAGGGAATAAAATGAGAAAAAATATGTAGTTTTTTTGCATACCAAAATAGAGTTTACTTCATTGAAATAGCTATGGGCAAAGTACAAATCAGAAATACTGCTCTATCCAAAATTAAATTTAAGGGCCAAGAGAAACCCTTGAAAAATGAGAATCTCCCCTCAACCAAAAGCACCATGGGCATAAACCTCATACTGACAATTATGCATCTTTTTTTCTACCAAAAGCACCTGGTCAAACCATAGTGGCCTTTGAACACAACAAATTATTCCACAGGAAATAAGCCAATTTACAATGTAAAATTAAATATGGCTTACAGGAATAAATTGACACAATAAAGGCAAGAAAAGGATCTCCAACATGAATATTTGTAAGTTCTTAGATGTTTTGACAGATAAGATGCTTGATTGTTCATCTCTTATTCCATTAAGCTAATAACTTACATGGTTTTTCTCTACCAACATAATACGATAAAATTTTTCATAAAAAAACTGAATAGAAAACATTATTTTAGGCTCTTGGGAAAACAAGGATAACAGCATTATTTTAATAACTCGAGAAATACATGTAAACAAGAAAATACACCAAAGACAACCCACCTTTTTGTATAATGCATGATTAATAAAGAAACCATGCATGTAAGCTCTAAGTAGATTGGTGCCAATCAGGTTGGTCAAATTTAACCTCTCAAGCTCCTCCTTTGTCAAAAATTTGTAATGATCATAAATAGTTGTTTGTCCATCCATGTCTAGCTCCTCCTGTAACAATGGTATAATGTCACAACAAAGATAACTGAAACAAAAATCCAATAATGAAAATAATAAGAACATACAGTGAAATTCTCTAGGGAAGAACACCACTTAGGTGCAGGTCCAAGCGATGGTATGAAGTAAGATGGTATTTGACTACTGTCCAAGGCCAGCAAGATCAAACCACTCCCAGGAAATGTACACACATCATTTATTGTTCCTGTTGTTGGTTCAATGCTGGTCAAGCCTTCTCCCTGGGAGCAAATATCAATCAAAACAACTCATGCTGATGAAAAATACAATCTACACGCAGTTATTACCTAAATGTTTGGCAATACTGAGGTCATCCAAATGAAAGATGTATGCATGTACAATTTATTTTATGTATTGCAAAAACATTATCAATAAAAGTCCTTTAGTGATGATTTGCAAATGAACCACAATATGAAGGTAACAAGTACAAAATAAATATATATTAAATCTCATCCATTTACTATGAAGAGATTTTTGTCCATTTATCTATAGTATAACCAAATACATCTTAGCAAAATTTGCTGAAAAAAACACCTTAAGAACATGTTTTTAAAGTCTAACATCTTTTAACAACTGTCTCCAAAACAGAGAATGTTGTGGATGTCCAACATGTAGAAATTGAATTCATGAATTATTGACCATTTTTTCTCTCAGGTATGCTACTACTGAATGACCCAAAACTAATTAAAACGAACACTACACATCACAATATTATGAATGAAGACAAGCATGAACAAGGAGCACTGATCAATTTGAAAAAAAAAATGACTATTAATCTTTAATCTGACATATGAAAGTAGGAACCACAAGTTGTATACCGTTTCAGGATCCCATATCCTAACAACATGACTGTCACTGGTAATCAACATTGGTTGTTCATAGTTAAGAGTGCGATGCCACTTAATATCCAATATCGAACTGCCATACCTGTAAGACAATTTTTAATCAACCATTGATTAAATATATAATTATTTTTAATAAAAAGGTAAATTTCTCAAATCAGAATGTCAACTTACATATGATCCTGTATCCGTACAGGATGTGATGAGCGGAGATCATAGATGAGAACCTGCATATGTAATAATAAATGTATAAAATATCTATGTTCAAGGGGGAAGAAACGCATGGAAATTTTGTTTAGAAAGTAAAATTGTGTCCACACAAGGAAATTTTTTTCTTCTAGAAGAAATAAACATTCTCCTAATAAAAAGCATTTAGAAAAAAAAAAAAAAAATCTACCCCATCCTCTACACTGCCACAAGAAATATATCCCATTTCCATTTTGTGTACCTTCTTTAAATTAGCTATGTTTACCGAGAGGTCTTGTAATTTTCAAAAAAATAATCATGTAAAAGGTAATGAGTTAGTTATCTTCTGACTTTATGAATTCTGTACATATCTTTGGACTTTGTAGACTTTCTACCTTTAAAATCCAACTGAATTTTGGGCCCAGTCATAAACCTCCTGATAGAGATATCAAACCATTCTTTGACCTCCAATTAACAACTTAAGCTTTTGTGAGACTTAGTCCTTCACATGGTATCAAAGTCAGATGTGATGAAATGGTCAAGATTTTGAACCTTGCTTCCCCCATTGCTCATAACTAAATTAAATTTCGGTAAAAGGTACAGTTCACTTATGCATTGTCCTCGCCTCAAACTCAGTAGGCTGTTGCATATTACAAGGTAGCTTCGAGCCATACACTTTCATAATTTGAGTTTATACTATATCCATAATTCTTTTTTTTTTTTTTGAGCAATGTTTCTTCAAAAGAATGGCGGATTTTTTTTTCTTTTTTTCTAACATTTTTCCTTATTCTATTTTGCCACTGAAGTGTGTATGGAGTAACATCTATGTTGTCAAAATCCTTTCCAGATATATAAAACCATTCACGGAACTCCAGTTAATAACTTCACCTTTGGTAACATTGCCCAACTTATGAATCAAGCTTGTCTTGTCTTAAAAGTATACATCCATATATGCAAAACCACAATGGTGGGATGAAGACAAGCTTTCCTTAAAATTCTATATAACAACAGACATGCTAATTGTTCAATTCAATCAAAAAGAGGGTGATGTAGGTACTACAAAACATGCCACCGCAGTTCTAATAATGACACAAATCACACAACCTATGATGTGAATAGCATCATACCTTTCCTGCACTACTTCCAACAGCCATTAAGAAACCACCATCTTCATCAAACTCCAACGCAGTGACCTCCTACAAATATGGAAAGTTAAGGATAAAGATCTGAATTATACAACGAAATGTACAAAAGAAGTCTATAGCCTCAATTTTGATTATGATATGAACAAAGTGGAAAAGATAAATGTTTCCTGCCCATTTGAAACTTATGTGAGTATATAGATGGGTAACAGGTCACATATATGAGATTGTAATACATAATATTTGCCTTAGAACAACAGCTTCAGCACATCAAATATAAAAATTCTTGACATATTCTCACAATATTGTTATGCCTTGAAATAGGCAACTGGAGAGAGAAGAATTGCTACCTGGTCCCCATCACCACTAGGTCCAACCGCGTCAATTCGACCAACTGAAGATCTCACCCGCATGTCAAAGCATTCCACAGCACCATCTTCACCACCACAGGCAACTAATCCATGAATCTTGCTAAAATTTAGACAAAATTTACGTTCCAGTGATTTAATACAAATAGCAAGGTATGTATATAAAATGTATAAAGCTTTAATAATTAAAGAAAATAAAACAGGGTAAACCAGCATTCAAGTTTCAGTAATTACCTTCTACAAACTACATTCAATGCAGGGGACTGTGTGCTAAGTGAGGAGAGAAATCGACCCTGACAAGTAAGAAAATATGAGCTTCCCATTTTCAGCATTTCTTCATTCCAAAACTCAACCAATAGAAAAACTAGGTATCTACGTGCTACTAAAGATGCTACCAAAACAGAGAGCTGTAAGATAAACACCTGCTCTAAGTTTATTCTGTACAAATCTGGGGATGACGCAGCACAAAGCAAGTCACAAGACCAGCCGTCATAGGTAATATCTCTCCCCATCCTACCAAATGACAACAATAAACATCCATTTTACAGCACAAATCACACTTTAAACTCTAAAAGGAATCAATACACAAAAAACCTAGAGAAGAAACCTTGGAATCCGCAAACTGTAGTGCTTTCCATATTTCGCATGCAGATAAACAGAGCGATCAGCACATAAAAAAGCAAGTTTTGAATAGTCATCTGTCAGAACCTACACCGGCAAAAACACAGTTATCTCAACCAACCAATCCCTCGCCAAAGATTGATCACAATCTTCAACAAAAAGTAAGGGTTAACTAATGTAAACATAAACATAATGAAGCACAACATTTACTGGAATATAACACAAAGTAAAGGTTAACTAATGTAAACATAAACATAATGAAGCACAACATTTACTGGAATATAAACCTAACTTTTTATTTCAATTGAAGCTATATTGTTACCTCTCAACAAACCAATCCCTCCATAAAAACTGCTTACAATTTACAAACACAGAAAATATAGATGAATGTAAAAATAAATAAAAAGAAGCACAACAAATACTGAAACATAAACCTAGCTTTCTATTTTAATCCTACGCAGTTTCCTCCGCCATCCAATCCCTATGTAGTAATTATCGCATTCAATTTACAAGCACAGAGAAAATATTAACATAATTAATATAATAATATGAGGAATAACAATTACTGGAAAATAAATCTATCTCTTTCTACGTCAAATGAAGCCATGCAGTAACAGTTAGTTACCTCAACCAACAACGTAAACATATATAAAATGAAGCCTCAACCTAACTTCTTTATTTCAATTAAAGCTAGCAGTCCCTCTGTAAGAGATGGCTTACAATTTCCAAACGCAGAAAAACTATTAACGAAATTAATTAAATATAATTGAAATGAGGTTCACTTAAAAACTATTGGAACATATAAACCTAACTTTTTCAATTAATTTCAAACGAAATCGGCTTCATATTTCAGTACCTCAAAATCAACTATCTCGGAATCCAGGTGGCGTTCGAACTTTAACCCTAGCTCCCTCACCTCGTACACCTTAACTTGCGGCGGATAGATGCCGGAAGCTATGATGTACTCACCGTCGGGAGTGGCCTTAATTTTGGTGGTGGCGGTGGCGAAGCGTAAGTCCTCGATCAGTTGCAGGTTCTGCGTATAACCTGAGAGAAGCGCGTAGAGAAAAATAAGAAGAAGAAGAATGAATGAATGAGAAAGGTTACAGAGAGAGAATTACTTTTAACGTTGCGATGAGAGTTCTGTTTCTTAGAAGGGAGCCAGGAAGCGCGGGAGGGTTGCTGCGATGCTATCGTGTACATCTTAACGCCGTTAATTGACGTCGACTTCATGCCGCCGTCACGAGTCGCCATTGTTGGTTACTGTGATTGCTTGCTTTGGAGTTCCGTTGAATTGAATAGTGTGAACGAAGGGCTACGACAAAGAGTGAAGAGAGGAGGTCCCAACGGCGTCGTCGCACACAGAGGCTGCAAAGAAGAGGGAGTGAGGGTTTTTAAGTGTCGCACACAACACAATTTCCGTGTTTTTTTTTTTTTTCGTTTTTTCTCCTTCTTATAACAATTTCTTTTATTAAACTTTATTTTTACTAGAAAAAATATTTTTCAATAGATTTTCTTATTCTCTATTAAACAGTAAAATATTTTCTATTTACTTTCCCTCATTATCTTCTTTTCACTTGTGCTTTTTTCAACGAAAAATTATAACAGAAAGGTTTTATGTTTACAAAAATTGTTCTGAAATTGATATGAAGTTTAACGAAAGATGTGTATTGTATTTAATAATTTGAAAAATAATATAAAAATGTTTGATTTTTTTTGTTAAGTTTAATTTTTTTAATTAACATAATAAAATTATTTATTTCTAAAAAAATGATATATTTTCTCTAAAAATAAGAGATAAGAACTATTTTTTATCTTTATTGTTTATATTTTAATAATCTAATAATCAAAATAAATTAATACTTTAGAATATTAAATTATAATGATAAAGATAAAAAACAAATCTTTATTTTTAGTTTCTTATATATTATTCAATTAAAGGAATATAAAACTTTAATAGATTTTTATTTCTATCAATTTTTAAATAATGTATTTTTCCTTTATAAAACAAATTGCTTCCATTTTTTTTTCTTTCTATGTTACCCATCCAATTCAAATAAAATATTACTTCTATTTTCAAACCTATCAACAAAAAGAAGTGGAAAGAAACTTCATTTTAGATATGTTTCATTGCTTAGTACTTCATTGTTTATAATTAGATAGTGCAAGTCATTATAATGCAGAAATCTATCAAATTTGAACCGTGAGGTAGGTATTTCCTCTCCTTCTTCAACCTCTAAATAATGCAGAAATATAAATGTCTCATGTTTCTGAATTTCTGAAGCTCCTGCATGCCTAACACGTAAATTTGTGGGATTACTAAATTTGAATGTTTTCTTGATCTATCTGCAAAGGCTTCTGATGTATGATTTCACCAATTTGATCCAATCACATTGTGCAAGATCAGAAATTCTAATCTCCAAGTTATTACAGCTATGCAACAAGAGTACAACTTCAAAACAGTTCCCCTAAGATTCCAATCATTCCACAGAAAAGTCATGCTTGAAAATGACTTGGACTTTAGCCATAATCTTATTGTTCTTTGCGTTTTCCTTTATTTAAGGAGGATCTCTTATCCTAACAACTCTCTGTAATCATCTTCACTCTATCTAAATGAACTTCTCCTTATGTATATTAAAACCAACTTCTGATTAGTGAAACGTGTTCTGTTTGCTGTGAAAGCAATTAGCATCAAGCAATTATCCTAACCAGAAGATATTTCAAGAATTCGATACCCTTTTCTATCAATTATCTTCACAAATCCAAACTTTGCTAAATTGTATATATGTTAAAATCGTTGCTATTCTTGATGATTGTCTTGTCTTTAGCAGTAATGTTGCTAAGCACGACCATAATAAATGTTTTAGAATTCTAAGCATAACCCTAAACATTCAATTCTAGATTATGAAAGTTACTAAACAGTATTAATGCTTAATTAGAGGATTGAGTTATTGGTCCTCTCTTCAGAAATCCATTTTCTTTTCCACTATCTGCATCACTCAGTTTACCTTGATGCCTATTTCCACCCTTGTCATAAAAACAATAGCAACAAACAGTATATGCTTTCAATCTAATTAAAGTTATTTCTTTTGTAATTTTTCTTGCAGAATCTATTGTGAAGTTCTTGAATGGCCATTTAGTGATCAAGATTCAACAAGGGTTGAGTGACATGAAACATGACTTCTTTTTGACTTTAAGAAGATGCTCTATATCATTTTAGAAATATGTGTAACCTCTTTTTGGTTTGAGCTGATCCATTCTTGTTTTCATTATTATAAGAAAACTATAAATCTTCACAATGATGAGTGCGTAAGTGTCAGATTTTGAGTCAAACCTCTGTTCTGATAGATGAAATAATGCTCTATCAGTTCATTTCATCCCTATGTTATGAAGTTTTTTTATTTGATTATATGTTGGAACAAGATTGATGATGTTGTCACTCCAAGGGAAACGAATAAAGAATGCGTGTTGGACTATATTATTAGAGAAAAGAATTTAAATACGATGAACATGTTCTTTTCACAACAATTGATAATGTGAAACATATAAATATCGAATAAAAGTTAAAAAAATCAAATTAATAAAAAAATTTCAATTATTTCGTGTAAGAATGAAAATTCGTCCAATATCTGTTTGAAATCTGTTTAAAACTTTAACTAATCTTAATTTTATTCTTAAAAAATATTTTAATAGAATAAGAGTGAAAAATATATATAAATTGTTCTTGATTTCTACTTTTAAACTTAATCTTAATTTTATTCTTAAAAAATATATTAATAGAATAAGAGTAAAACATATATATAAATTATTTTTGACCTAAATTTAAAATTACCTAAATATAATCTAATCAATCATTAAAAAATACAAGTCAATAATATTTTATTAATTTATTTTTTTTATAAGTAAAATGTAAACACATGCACAATGAATATGATTTTATGGATGATAAGATGAAAAAGGTGTATATACATGCTATAAAGTAAAGAATAAATTTGGGTTTAGCATGTATATATTTTGTCGCTATTTCTACAACTAAATTCATGTGATGCAATGCAATGAATGTCTCCATCCATTCATGTCAAAACGGGCTTTGCAAACGCACTTTAGGAGGGTACTTCATATACTTCTTCTAATCCTGTTATTAATTCCATCCAAAATTATATTTTTAAGGATTTAGATTTTAGAAATTAGATGTGTTTTGAATTGTTTTATATTTTTAATTAATACTTATATGCTAAAATGAATATGTTAAATAAATAAATAATATTTTTATTATTTCATGATATTACATTATATTTATATCTTTATTTTAATTTTAAATTGTTCAATCCTATAATTTAATTATATATATTTTTATCGGATCTTATTTCATGTATTATTATATTAATTCTGTCAAACCGTTTTAACCCATTGAAAAGAATTAAAAAAATATATTAATTTACAAATAAATTTAACAGAAAATAATATTTAAAAATTAAATTAATGAAGTAAAAAAATAATTTTATGTTGTGATTGTGGATTTTTTTTTAAAAATTGACAAACTTTTATCATTCAAAATGATTATAATTGTTTATTTGATATAGTTTAATTAAATAAATAATCATATGAAAATTTTGAGATGAAAGAATAAAATAAAATAAAAAGATAAAATTGTTTCTATTCATATTTTACAAATATCCTTAGCTTACCCTCTTTTATGTGTCCTATGATTCGGACCCAACCCTCCATTGGAGGAATTAAGGGACCTTGTGGCCTCCATCAAGTTGCTAGGCTAAATCATAGACGGTAGCAAGAAAGTCAAAAATGGAATGAAAAAGGAAGAAAAAGAAACTGAAAAACAGAAATGCATGTTTGATGTGTTTGGAGGAGAAAGCAAAACCCACCAGTTATTTTCATGGATTGATAAAGGTGAAAAGATTAGTTCCAATGGAGGCTATGCCCTACACCACCTTTTATTTTTCCATTGCTGTCAAAAGATGTTGGAAATAAATGCTTTCTTTTTTCTTCTTTATCTTTTTCTAGTCTTCAATCATAGTGCAATTGATTGCAAAATCATTTTTTCTCACCACACTCTTTTCTTCTTCTTCTTCATGCGTGTTGGTGTCCATATTAATTGCTTCGGAATTCGCACCCTCTTCTCATTCTGCCCACTCTCCTCTGGCTTTATTTGCATAACCAAACAAGAATTAACCAAAATATATTGAAGTTTTAGATTTCTTTTATTTATATAAGTAATATATATATATATATATATATATATAAATTAAGAAAAGAATTTAATATTATAATGAATATTGTTTTAGCAGTTATATTTATTCAACATAAAAATGATAATTTTTTCCCACATTTAAGATCAATTAAATATATTATATGTTTTAAAAATCTAATTTATTATAATTTTTTTCTTAAAAAATATTTCATAAATTAAGAGATAAAATATATATAAACTATTTTATTTTTATTTTTAAATAATGTGAATTTGATGAACTTGCTTGATATATAAAATAAAATTAGATGAACTTCTTTCAATTTAAAGATGAATTTTATATTTATATTAGAATTCAAAGAAATAAATATACTATAAGAAAATCGCGTATTACCGATCGGATATTTATCGATCGATTTAAATCTGCCAGACAATAATTATTACCAACGTAAATTATCGAGGGATATAAAATATTTGTGGAATTTGATTTTACCGACGGATATATCCGTCGGTAATTTACAGATGAATTTACCGACAGATATATCTGCATGTAAATTAACAATTAGTAAATATTCACCTAATTAAAAAATTAAATATATTTTTATTTTATAATTTAATTTAATCATAATTAGATTAATTTATAATAATTTCTTAAATTAAATAATTTAAAAAGTATATATTTAATTATATATAAATATATATAAAAATATATAAAATAAAAATATATAAATATAATTTATTTGTAAATTATTATTAAAAAATTTTGGTAGTTTAGTGGTTGGAGTATCAACTTCTAACTCTAAGGTACTAGTTTAGAATCCTGCCAATAACAATTCTCTTAATCTCATAATAATTAAAGGTTTTAAAAATGTAATAGGGAAAATTAATAAATACTAAAAATATTCTTGTAGTATACCGTATGTATTCGATAGTTTTATCATTTAGAGTCTTCTTATAAGGAAAATCGAAAAGTGAAAAATAATTATTATAAAAAATAAAAGCTACACATTTTTAGAAAATGATATAATTTTATAATTATACCTCAATC